AAAGTTCTCTGGCAGACTTGCGTCTCAGTGGGCAAAGTCCTTGAAGTGTCCAGTGTAAATCTTCAGATGTCTCCAGATGTCCCCAAACCTGCAAAATTCCCCTCCTATCTTATCTCTTCCACAACATCCTGTGCTTGCTGATGACAGCCTTGGATGCTAAGCTGAGTTCCCTGCAGAGAGCAGTGCTTCTGGGGATAAGCAGGCTGGGGGCTGGGAGAGTCAGGTCCAATTGGAACCTCACAGGTAGTTCCTGTCCAAATGCCTTGCCAAGTATAAGTATTCCAGGTCCTCCTGCTTCAAACAAAGAATTAGACAAGAAAAGCCAAAAATAGTGCCAAAAGTTTATTTGAAAAGTGAGAGGTGAATAGAATAAGGGAAAAACTAGCCCTGTCATGTAAACTGGGATTGAACAAAGACAGAAAAGATAAAAGCAAAAATAAAAATGTGCCCCATGTCCAGGAGACACAAACTGAGCTACCACGAGGAGTCATGGTGGTCTCCTCACGCACCTGCTCTATTTTATGCTGTCCACAATTCGTGGAAGCCCGTGAGAAGTTCCACATACGGGGTCCTGAAGGGTATTTGGCACTGTCTCTGGATCTTATCATTAACAGGTCCTCCTTATTTCTCAGCCAGCTTTTCCACCCATCTCCTGTATCAGCCTCCCCTTTCTTCCTGTGTTTCTGTAGACAACCTCTTGCAATCTTAACTCTTCTCTTTTTTGTTTTTTCCCTATATTTCATGTTTCTTGAAACCCTCTATAGACTGCTATGGATCAGTGTTTTCAGTTTAGATATTATCAGTAATGCTGATTACATCACTTCCTACTACACATTTGCCCCTCATTCTGCGTATCCCAATATTTAAGTTCTTTCTTCATGATGTCAGTCTTTTTTTTTTTTTTTGTACCTGGGATCAAACTCACAACCTTGCACTTGCCAGGCAGGCGCTTACACCACTGAGTTAAATCCCCAGCCATGTCAGTCTTTTTGGATGAACCAAACATTATAACAAGGTGACATTTATTTTTTAAAATGAGTTTTTATTTGTCTAAGTCTTTGGCCATTTTGTCTCTCACATCCTCTAATAGTTCTATAAAATGTGTCTTAATGTAATTTTTGGAAAGTAATCCCTACCAGATCATCTAATAGTTCCCTCTCAATTTCTTTCCGCCGCTTAGGCTAGACTAGGTCCTTTTTTTTTTTTTTTTAAAGACAGTGTCTTGCTATATAGTTCAGGCTATCCTTCAACTCAAGGGATTCTCCTGACTCACCTTCCCAAATACTGAGATTACAGGCATGCACCACCACACCCTAGATTGGGTTCTCCCAAGTCTGCCCACTGCCTGATGCACAAGGGAGGCGGGAGTAAGGACACTGGCCTCCTGTTAACTCATGGGCTTCGGAACGGAAGCAGAGTTTAATTTGGCAGTTAAAAACCTGGACCATGGCCCAGACTCCTACCCGTGTTGGCAGATACCTTGTATTATCCCTTAAGCCTCAAAAAATGGGATAATAATGGGATTGCCTTATATGTTTGCTTGAGCATCGGATGAGGAAACTGGCAGTTTAGTGTTTAGCACAGTGTTTAGCACTGGCAGTGTTTAGCACAGCGCCTGCCACATGGTAAACCTTCCATGCAGTGCTGCAGTTAGTGTTGTTATTTCTCTACTTTTTCTAAGTGATAAATGTGTGGCCTGGGATGGGAAGGAAAGCAGAGAATGAGAGAATTGTTGGAATATCAGAATAGTAAGAACCTCCCAAACACCCCTAGGGCTTGTTCCCAGCTGCCCCACCCAGGGTGCCACTCAGCACCTTGGCTGTGGGACAGACAGACACACAGGGAAGTCTCTGTCTGTGGTCACTGCTGGAATGCATAAGAGACTTGGCTTGGGGCCTGGGCGAGGGTGGGAGGGAAAGCTGCCTAAGCCAGCCCTGGGAAGAGCCAGAGAGGCTGAGAAATGGAGATGCTTGCCCTATGGATCAAGGGGTACACTGGAGGGAGGCACCATCCCCCCAGCTTTGTTACCAAGGGATCAGGCAGCAAGGGGAAGGAAGAGAGTATATTCAGACAGTTACAATGGTGTCAGTCTCCTTTCTGGGGGTAGGACAGGAACCAGGCCCCCTAAAAAGGATAGGGAGCTTAATGAGTGAGTTAGGCAGCATTTCCAGGGCCTGAGGGTGTGGGGCATGCAGCCCTCTCACCTTCCCAAGGGAACCAGCACCTCAGGTTCACTGCAGATAGATGGCTGCTTACTGTCTGCTTGAACCTAGGCATGATGAATCCATGCTCTCACCCTGCCTTGTCATAGTCATCATGGCCCCAAGGTCACATCATAGGACAGCGGTAAAGGACACAGACCAGATGCCTGTCTGCAGCCGTCACCATCCACAAAGGAGACAGACGGATGACGATCTCGGTGACCAGTGCATGGCAGACAGTCCTTGTGGGTATCTAGGAAAACAAAGAGGGACACCAGCCTCCTCTGGGGTCAGGAGCCTCGGAGTTACCTCCTGGTGGCCAGTTAGGGATCAGGGCACTTTTGGTGGAGCTTAAGGCCCACACAAAGGTGGACGTGAGAGCTGGGCAGTTTTGAAAGGTCTTTGCTGCTGGCTCCCCAGTCCAGTCCCAGCCTTTTGGCCCAAAAACTCAGGAGCCTCTTCATGCTGGGAAATGCTTTGGGGTCCCTGGAGAGAGGTCATGTCAATTAAGATGGCAGGAAGGTAGCCTGCCCTGCAAGCTGTCTCATGCCATATCCTGAACCTCTCCTGGGACTAGCCCAAGAGCATGAGGTCTGTACCCAAAGAGTGGGCAGCTCTGTACCATCCTGAAGGTCCCCGCGGTATCTACTCTAACCCTGCCCCATTGTCAGCAGACCAGGGAGCCAAGGGGAGGATAAAAGTCCTGGAGACTTGGGTGTGTGCTGTAGTATGGAAAATGGCAGGGAGCCAGACAAAGGAAGGAAGGGCCGGCCGCTGGCCATCGTGTGACTTCCTAAGTAGACACTGCTATTTATACTCCAGGCTTGGGACAGGCCTCCCATCAATGAGGACATGGTGTGGCCCCAAGCCACCGGATCCACAGCCAGGCAGAGGAGAACGCTGTACTCCCCAGACCATCCCTGACCACATGTGGCCCTGACTCTGGAACTTGGTCCTGTGGGTGTGGCCATGATCCGCAACTTCCCACACACATAGCACAGGGTCCCCCAAGTCGTTGTGCACAGGACTGGTATCTTCAGCTGCTTGGCACCAGGTCCTAGCCAGGAAATGGTGTTGGGCTGGATGGGCAGCTGGCAGGTGACCATCACAGGACAAGGGTGCCCCCCCATGGTCCCAGCAAGCTGGAGGGAAGAAGGGCACCCAGACCAGACTGTCCCACTGCTTCTGTCAGCCCCTCTGCCCCAGTGTACTGCCAGGGAGCCCACAGGTTCAGCAAGCACCTGGGGACACGTCCTTGCCCTTAGCAGGCCTCCCTGCAGTGGTAGTTATCTGGTGTTTTGAGTGAAGTGTTTGAAGGTCACAGCTCCAGCAGGGGATGACATGGGCTCAGCAGCCAGGCAGGCAATCAATGATGCTGAGCCGGATGGTGTGAAGAGGTGACCCTGGCATAGTCTGACCAGTTGTGAGGTGCCAGGACAGCATGTGCCAAGCACACGAGCCAACCTGGTGTGGTTGCCCAGGGCACAGGTGTGTCCCATAGCAGCTGACCAGCCCAGGCCCTTATAAAAGGTCCATGTTGGACCCCCACAAATGACTCCATGGGGGCCCTCAGGTCCCTGGCAGCAATGAGGTCTCCAGGGATTTGTTCACTACACTCACGCAGCCTGGAGCCTCTTGTCAGCCCTGGGCTGAGACTCAGACCACCCACCACCCTGGCCTATGTCTTCATCCTCTGAACTCAAAGATCTCTGGGTGTGAGCCCACCATCCCCACCAGGGATGACACTGACCTTGTTTTATTGCTTTCTTCCTTCCTTTCCTTTCCTTTCCTTTCCTTCCTTCCTTCCTTCCTTCCTCCCTTCCTCCCTCCCTTCCTTCCTTCCTTCCTTCCTTCCTTCCTTCCTTCCTTGCTTCCTTCTTCCCTCTTTTCCTCTCTCTATTTCTGGAATTCTCCTTCCCTTTCTCTCTTTTTCTTTTTGCTCTCTTTCTTTCTTTCTTTCTTTCTTTTTGTTGTTGTTGTTGTTGTTGTTTGCTTACTTGCTTTCTGCAGCTTTGGGGATGGAACACAGGGCATCACTCATGTTAGGCAAGCACTCACCACTGACCTACATTTCCAGCCCTCCTTTATTTTGAGACAGGGTCTCTCTAAGTTGCCCAGATTGATCTCAAATTTGTGAACCTCCTGTCTCAGCCTCCCAAAAAAGTTGGGATGGCAGGCATAGACCACCATGGTCAATTTGATGTTGTTTCTGGACCCTAGCATCTTCCACAGCCTCATCATATGGGGTCTCCTCCTCCTCTCTCAGGCCAGGCCCCAGAACACATTGATCCTGCCCTCTCCCTGGCCTGGCACTGCCTGATCTGGGCCTCCTAGACTGGATGATTGGAAGGCTTCTGCCTCCTGACCCTGCCAAGCCAGGTGCCCTGCATCCTAGCTGCCTTGTGGCCTCTAGCACTAAACGACTGTATGGTTCCCAAGAAGGCCCAGCTGCCACCATCTCTCCAGACCTCCCTGCTTGCTGTGGCATCAGGGCAGCCATATCCCCAGCTCTGCCACAGAGCTTGGCCTTCCCTAGATAAGCTCAAGCCCTGCTTGCCAGCCCTGCTATGGTGCTCTACAGACCCTCACCCCCCAGATCCAGGAGCAAAGTAAGAGGTGGGGATGCAGGAGCACAAAGCAGGCCCACCCCGGGGTGCGGGACTGCAGCCCGAGAAGGGGCATCACCCACAAGGACGAGTGTCTTGGGCAACAACTCCATACCTGCCCTCCCAGCCCCACATGCTGTCTCCCTTTCCCTGGGCCAGTAACCCTTCATCCTTCCTCCTGTCCCACCTCTAGCCGTGGGTGGGGCACATGCCTGGATGACTCTCCAACCACCGACGTCATTGACTTCCCTTCCGTGCCGCCCGGGGTCCTGTACGACGTGGACCACCAGTGTCGCCTCCAGTATGGTGCCAACTCCATCTTCTGCGAGGGTGTGGATGTGAGTGTGGCAGGAGATAGGAAAATACAGAGATGGTCTTCAGCAGTCGGGAACCACCAGCTTGGGAGAAACCCTGCTTGTCCCTCACCTTGGAGCACCCCAGTCAGTTGCCCACAGAAGGGGCCTGGGCATGGATGCTGAGCTGACTTTTCCCATGCTGTGGGCCTGGGCACCTCCCTCAGCTTCCCGCCACTGACTCTGTGCTCTGAGGTCCTGGAGCAGAATGGGTAATGTCTCAGTCACAGCTTGTGACAGAACCCTGGCTTCCCCAAGTTCCTCCCAAAGGACAGGCCGAGCTGAGATGTCCAAGTGTAGGGAGACAAGGAAGAAAGGGCACCTCTGGGGCCTTCACACTGCAGACCCCATGATATGCCAGCAGTGTATAAGGGACCCCTGGGGACAGTGAGGGAGGCAGATGCATGATGGCCCTCGGGCAGGAGGGAGGGTGTGACCGTGCTTCCTCCCTTCAGAATGTCTGCCACACGCTCTGGTGCTCTGTGGGGATGACCTGTCACTCCAAGTTGGACCCTGCTGTGGACGGCACCAAGTGTGGGCCTGGCAAGGTAGGGATGCTCCCGCCCCAGCTGTCTGGGGGAGGGCTGACTCACTGGGCTTCTGCTCTGGGGTCATCCCTACCCTCAGTGCAGCAGACCCCTCACTCTGCAAGACAGGGGCCTTAGGGACCAGGCCTAATGAAATGATTCTCTAAGGTATTGCACTTAGAGTCACAGCAGGCCCTGACTCATCCTCCCAGCCTGACCCTGGGCCCTGGAACATGCACATCTGGGGGGCCCTTCTCACTCTTTCCATTTCTCCCCACTGTCCACCTACTTTATTCTCACTAGGCTGATGATGACTGATAGGTGTGGGGAGTGACTTTTCCCCCATCTGTCTTGGCAGTGGTGTTTCAATGGGGACTGCGTCCCTATGGGTTTCCGACCTGAGCCAGTGGATGGCAGCTGGTCCGACTGGAGCGCCTGGTCTGTCTGCTCACGGAGCTGTGGCATGGGTGTGCAGAGTGCTGAGCGGTGGTGCACACAGCCTGAGTGAGTGGGGTCACAGGTATCTAGGAGCAAAGGACTGGGCAGACTTTAGGAACTGACAGCGTCCTGGTGGTGACCCCACTGCTGAAAAACTGGGGAGATGCATCAGAGGCCACAGGAGCATCTGGCTGGAGAGCAGCCAAAGAGGACAGTGGTCAGTGCTTAGCCACCAGACTTCAGAGAGACCAGGGCTCAAGTCTACTCCACCTCATTTTAGAGGGCCTTCTCTAGGCTCAGTTTCCCTGGCTGGGCCTACCTGGTATAATACGGCTTTCAGGGTGAATGCCATAGGCCACATGGGTGCAGCCAGTGTGTGGTGAGTACTCAGCAGGCACCCTCAGTGCACCAGCAGTGTCCAGTGGGTCTGAGGTGGGCCCCTTCCCACCTTTAGGCTGTTTCCCCTAAAGAGGGCAATGAGAACCAGTGGCACAGGCCCAGCAACATGGCAGCTGGGGCAGTGAGATTCAATCCCCTCCTGCAGTGACACACTGCAGTGTCCCCATCCCTGCTGGTGTGGACTGGACCATAGCTAGAGGAGTGGAGATGGGTATTGCCACCAGGCCAGCTCCTCCACTGGGTTCTTCCTGGCCCTACTCACCACAGGCTGCAGACTCAGGGTGGGCTATGGTGCCAGCCATGCCCACTGTATCCCATCCCACAGCCCCAGCCCCACTTATTGAGAGGAAGCCAAGACCCAGAGCCCAGGCATCCTGTCACCTCCATCCCTGGGTCCTCACCAACAGGCGGAGATGGAGGTTCCCTGGCCCAGAAGGTGGGGTCAGCACTGCAAGACCCTAAGCATGGCCTGCCTGCTCCCCACAGGCCCAAGTACAAGGGCAGGTTCTGCTTGGGCGAGCGCAGGCGCATACGCCTCTGCAACCTGCAGGCCTGCCCACCCGGCCAGCCTTCCTTCCGCCATGTCCAGTGCAGCCACTTCGACTCCAAGCCCTATAAAGGCCAACTGCACACGTGGGTACCCGTGTTCGACTATGGTAAGTCTTTCACCCTGGGAACACTGAGACCCTAGGATAGCTAGGTACATGAGGGTCTCAGTTCCTCAGTGATGCAGACAGCCAGTCATCACCTCTACTGTCCCCAGGGCCACATCCCCAGGTCCCCTCCTGGCACCACATGCAGCCAGCTGTCCACCCAGAGCCCCCAGCACCATAGCTACATGTTGAGGAGGGGTCTTCCTGGAAGGTCATGACCTTGTCCTAATGAGTCCCCCCCTTCCCCAGGGAACCCCTGTGAGCTGAACTGCCGACCCTCCACTGAGCACTTTTCTGAGAAGCTGCGGGACGCCGTGGTCGATGGCACTCCCTGCTATCAGGACCAGACCATCCGTGACCTCTGCATCAATGGAATCTGCAAGGTGCGCGTGGATATCAACTTCAGCATCCAGCACACTGCCCTCAGCCCTCTGGAGAGCACCAGCTCCTCCTCTGAGGCCCCATTTACCCCATGCTACACTCTTGGGCCTCCTAGCCTCTGCACTCATGAACCGCAAAAACAAAGACCCCATTACCCCATAACTGCAGAAGCCCCCCAAGTCAGCCTCCCAACCTGGGCTTGCAGCTGCTTGCCCTGCAGCAGCCAGGCAGCATAGCCCCAGCCAGAGACTGAAGCCCAGGCAGCATACCCCCCAACCCCTGCCCTTGCTGGCTAGAGGAGCCCAGGCAGCAATTTGCTCCACTATGAGAAGGGTTCGAAGGTGGTACAGGCGGCACAGGGCTCTGAGCTGGCAGTGGAAGCACTCAGTGTTTGGTAATGTTTCCTAGTCTCATTCTGGTACCAGCCACCTCTTGTCGCTGCTTCTTTCATTCTGTGCAGGCCTGAGCCCAGAGAAGCCCAGCTGCTGGTGCTAGGCCAGTACTCCTGATAGTAAGTCTCAGAAACCCATGTGCCTGCTCAGGAGCTCATGTGCCCATTCCCCATCTCTGCCACCCAGGGTTCATCATGTGCCCCTGAGGCATGGACTGATTCCTGTCCCATGAAACAAGCCCAGAGGAAAGGGGTTTTTCTGGGGTCAGATGGCAGAGTGGGCAAAGTTCTAAAAGAGGATCAGCATCCATTGCCAAGGTTTTGGCTCCCACTCCTGTTGCAGAGTGTGGGCTGTGACTTCGAGATTGACTCGGGTGCCATGGAGGACCGCTGTGGAGTGTGCCGTGGCAATGGCTCCACCTGCCACACCGTGAGCGGCATCTTCGAGGAGGCCGAGGGCCAGGGTATGGAGGGGACCACTATGGGAGTTGCACTTGACCTGGGGGCCTCCCTTCTTCTCCTGGCCCTGTTACCAGCCCATTTGATCACTCCAGACTAGAGAGGGCAAAGACCTGTCCTCATGGGGGTCTTCCTGTCCCAGGGAGCCCAGGCCAACTGGCCAGCCATGGCTGGGGATGACCCAGGTACTGGGCCCTGTAGAGGCTCCCATCTACTTATGCAGAGATGTAGGCCTCCCCAGCTCCATACCCTCATCCTGGGGCCATACTGCTTAAGTGTGAGTGGGAGGAGAAGGGGCACTCACAGTCTGACAGGGTGACAGCCTTCACTGTGACAGCTTGGTATAAGGATGTTCAGCAGACTGAGGGATCTCAGGTCCTGCCCTGGGTATGCAGGGAGGACTTCCTGCAAGAAGTAGACACAGAGCTGAATGAGGAGGAACCCAGATGTGGTAGTGAGGGCAGAGGGGAAACTGTTTGAAGCCTGGGGCAGGAGCAAGTGTGCCCTGCCCAGGACCCAGCAGGCTGGCTGGCTTGAGACCTTGAATGCCCGGCCTGGACTTAGTAGCTTTCTTCCTAGAGAGGCAGCACGGTCTGGTGGTTACCACTCGGCCCCTGTTCCTGCTTCATATTCTGGCAACACCGTTGTATAAGCTGCCTAACTTCTGATGCCCCAGGCTCTGCACCTATAAATTGGTGGTGACGATGGTATCCTGTGACAGGCTTGTCTCCCAGAGCTTACACAGTTGGGTCCTTAGAGTCATCCAGCTGCAAGGGGCTCATTAGCCAAAGAGCAGCAGCCCTGTGGGGAGGTGGGGGCTGTACTGGGAGGAAGGCCCTGGTGTTCTGGAATTTTGGAAGGCTTCGCAGGCTGGGAAGGCAGGAGCTAGACCCAGCTGCGTGTCAGACTAATTCAGGTCCCCAGGAGAGGGTGACGGGTATGGGCCACAGAGGCAGAGTCTTTGTGCATTGGGAGACTGATGGCACAGGATAGACCTGACTGCATCTGCCTTTGGGGAGCTCAAACTTGGGGTGGGCTCCAGTGAAAGACCAGGGGCAACCCGCCTCCTACCCAGGGCCTGTGCACACCCCTGATCAACAGGGTACATAGACGTGGGGCTGATTCCTATGGGCGCACGCGATATCCACGTTGAGGAGGTGGCCGACGCTGGCAACTTCCTGGCCCTGCGCAGCAGTGAGGACCCAGACAAGTACTTCCTCAACGGTGGCTGGACTATCCAGTGGAATGGGGACTACCATGTAGCGGGCACCACTTTCACCTACACCCGCACAGGCAACCGAGAGAACCTCACATCCCCAGGCCCCACCCGGGAGCCTGTCTGGATCCAGGTGCTGCATCTTGGGGCCCAGGAGGGGGTGCAGAGGTAGAACCCCCTACACAACAGGGTATGGTCCTAGGGAATGACTCGGGTAGCACAGAGCCGGCTCTGGGCAGGCCCCTGCTATACTCCTTCTGCCTTAGTTTCTCCTACATTAAAGTGGCCCCAAGGAGTACTCCCAGTTGGCAGATGGAGGGACCCCGTATGCTCACAGGGCTCCCCTACTTGCTTCAGCTGCTGTTCCAGGAGCACAACCCTGGAGTGCGCTACGAGTACACAATCCACAGAGAAACCGAGAACCTCAGTGCAATGCCACTGCCCAAGTTTTCCTGGCACCACGGGCCCTGGAGCGAGTGCACAGCCACCTGTGGCACAGGTAGGATGGGGAAGGCACCTGCTGGTGCTGGCTAAGCCTGTACTGCAGCCACACACAACCTTCACACATGCTTCCGGGGTGTTGCACACTCACTTCCATCATATAAATGAGCACCTGGGCCTCACCTAAGAGCAGTGGGGCAGGTGTCCACATAGAACCCTCCACAGTCCATCTACTGCCTATCCCAAGGCATCCTGCAGGGAGCTGCAGTGGAGGGTGAGGAGGGAGAGGAAGGTTCCCATCCCAACACAGGCAGGCCCTGTCTAGGATTGCCTGGCCTTGAGATGCAGGGGTAACCTGGGCAGGACCTACCCCTGTGAATCCCCAGGCATGCAGAGGCAGATTGTGTACTGTGCAGAGCAGCAGGCAGAGCTTGTGGACGAGAGACATTGTGATCCCCTGACCCGGCCCGATGACAACCACAGGACCTGCAACGAGGAGCCCTGCCCCGCCCGGTGAGCTGCCCACCAGCTCCTGCTGTCCTGACCCATGGAGGGAGGATCCAGGCTCATGACTGATGCCCCTGTTGTCCCTAGTCCTGAGTTTTGGGTGGTACTGGGCAGCTAGGCCTGGTACCAGTCACTCCTCTGGGGCCCCACATGTGGAAAGAGACCTCAGGCCTCACACAGGTCCACTGGGGAGGTCAAAAGGGATGAGAGGGCCATCTCCTGTCACTGGGCTTTAGGTTTGGAGCTCTGGGGACTCATCATTTGGATACTGAGGCACAGGACCCCAGTCTGGCCATCCCATGGCATGCTGATGCCACTCTGTTCCCTCACAGGTGGTGGACTGGGGAGTGGCAGCACTGTTCCCGCTCCTGTGGGTCCAAGGGCATCTCCCGCCGGGCGGTGCTCTGCCTCCAGAGCGTGGGGATGGAGGAGCAGAGTGCTCTGGACTTGTCCGCCTGTGAGCACCTTCCCCGGCCCCCAGCTGAAACCCCCTGTAACCCCAATGTGCCATGCCCAGCCACCTGGGCTGTGGGCAACTGGTCTCAGGTGAGTATGGGGCAGGAGGCACCCTGGTCTGGATGGGACGAAAAGAGCCCATGAGGACCCTCATTGCCTAGGGCTTGTGGGAAGGAGCCAGGGCATTCAGTGTTGTGCACCTGCCCTAAAGGCTCAGGCACACACACTGGGCAGCGTGGCACCCACTGTGCCCGTGTCCTCTGTGCCTTCTGCCGGCCCAAGCCTTACTGTGGCCTCCCTACAGTGCTCGGTGACATGCGGAAATGGCACTCAACAGCGAATTACTGTCTGTACCAATGACACGGGCCTTCCCTGTGATGAGGCCAACCGGCCAGCAACCAAGGCCCTCTGCACCCTGCAGCCCTGCCTGAATTTTCTGGCCCCCGAGGCCTCCGGCAGTGGTGCCTCCAGCCCTGAGCTCTTCAATGAGGTTGACTTCATCTCAGACTCACTGGCCACACGGCCCCTACCCAACTCCACACCTGAGTTGGATAGCATCAGCAATCACATCGAGGACCTGAATCCACCTGAGCCTCAGTGGGTGGATGATTTCTACTACGACTACAACTTCATCACCTTTCATGAAGACCTATCTTATGGCACCCTTGAGGAGCCCAGCCCAGACCCAGTGGGCACAGAACCACCAATGCCCCCATCCCAGAGCAGTCCTTCTAAGTACCCCGTGGAGGCCCCCAGAGCCAAGGAGGGGGCCGAGCAGGGGGCTAGCAACCCCCCTCCCTTGCAGCAGCTCCCCAAGAGCCCAGCAGTCCCTTCCCTGCCTGAAGATGTCCTCATGGGTGCCCCTGATCTTGGGCTCCCTATTTCAGTCAAAAGCACAGAGACACCCTCTACTCCTGAAAGCCCCAACGAGCTCCCAGTGAGAGAGGACAGTAAGACCTGGCCACTCCCTCCACAGTGGGATGGGGCCAATGACATCTCCAAGGACAGTGAGGAGACTGCAGATCGCAGAGCACCCCATCTGCCCCAAGGCCCTGGCCCCATGCAGTTCCCTTGGCCCCCTGTCCACCCCACCCCTATCTTTCCTGATCCTGACATGGTACTGCTGTGGACAAGGACCATATCCTGGGACCCTGCGCCTGAGAGGGACCCACACAGCGAGATGTGGCCCACAGCAGGGGTGGCTGTTTCCTCTCCTCTTCCCACCTCCCCTGTGCCCAGGAACTGGGACCAGGACAGCCCCACAAACCCACCCGCCGGGAATGCCAGCTGGCAAGTGGGAAACTGGAGCCAGGTAAGTGGTGCAGGACTGGGCTAGGTTCCTGGTTATCTGCTCCCAGGGGGATGGAGATCCCACGGCAGGTGGAGGCGGCCTGGCCAGTGCATGTGCTGCTCTCTGCAACCTGCTAGGTGCCCTGTTTCCACTCTGAACAGTGATGGAGAGGAGGACCTCATCTACCTGTTTCTTAAGTTCCCAGAGACCCACTCACCATGGGGATGTGGGGATGGCAGCAGTAGAACCAAGAGTCACAGGCTTGCATGCCCTCGGGGATAGGAGCTTACCTCCTGCTCTGGTGTAGGAGTGGGACTCTGCACATGGGCCCCCTTGGGGCTGCTCAGATTTGCCACCAGCAGTCCCCTCAGTGGCTCCACTGCTTTGTCAGGAACCCACAGGGGATAGGAAGGAGTTGGCCTGGACACCCTCTCATGTCCCCAGATTGTCACTGCAAGAGAAATAGGCCTAAATTCAGGGCCCCCAGCCTTGGAGAGGGGAACACAGGCTGGGGCCAAGAGCTGGCTTTGTCTGGGATTTCTAGCAAGTGAACTGGCAGGACCAGGAGCCAGATCTACTTTCCTAGAGACTGAGAGCAACAAGCCCTGTCAGCAGGGTGATATGGTATCCCTGCAGGTCCTTCATGGGCAGAATGGGTGGCAGGATTCCACATCTTTCTCACCATCTCCCTGGGATGTGGATGGAGGACTCCATCTTCAGATGCAGAGGAGAGGGGCCCTAGCAGTGGCAGAGGCAGCTTCACCAGGTAGGTCCATCCTGATGTGCATGGCCTTGTGTCCCCACAGTGCTCCACTACCTGTGGCCTGGGTGCTGTCTGGAGGGCCGTATATTGCAGCTCTGGCCGGGATGAGGACTGTGCCCCTGCTGGACGGCCCCAGCCTGCTCGCCACTGCCACCTGCGGCCCTGTGCTGCCTGGTACACGGGCAACTGGAGTAAGGTATGTGAGGGGGAAGCCAGGGCACAGCCCCAGGTGTAGGATGGAGCCCCTGCATCCCAGGACCAGAGTTCAAGAGCAGCCTGGCAGGAGTGCCACATACCTGTCTGTGCAGATTGTTTCATTGCTTATGTATTTGGAACCTCTTCAGCTCAGCCCTTGCTCTTGTGGGGACTCCTTCTACTCCCAGCCTCTCTGGATTTCTCTCCTTTGCCTTCTTCTCCATCTGCCTCGTGCTGTGGCAGCCCCTGGCCTTTTACCTGTTGCCCAGAGCAGGCTATTTCCAGCTTCCCCTTGGAGTTTTGTCTCGTGCTTATATGGGGATGGGGTCCGATATCTACCCAGCCATATTCTCACGAGTTATAAGTGTTGCAATCACACACATGTCCTGGGGTCCCTGGGATATGTGTGAACGCTGATGGGGTTCATTCACACATGTGGGTTGTGTGTACATGCATATGAGCAGTATCTCTGGGCCTGTGGGTTATAAATGTGTGTATAGGGAAAGTCCATACACATGTCCCTGGATTATAAGCATATACATGTACTTAGTCACACATAGGTATGTCCCCAGAATTATGTGTGCATGGGTATAGGGTATATCTACACATGTATTCCTGTATCTCTAGGCTGTGTGTGCATATACATAGGGTATGTCACACACATCACTGGACCTCTGGGTTATAAGCATATGCATGCACATGGGCTGCATTCACAGGTCCACGACCCTTAGGTTAATAAGTGTGTGCACACCTATAGGATCGGTGCATCCACACACCAGCCCCTGGGCTCTGGGTTATCAGCATGTGTGTGCAAGTAGGGTGTATCCACACATGTCCCTAGGCTCCAGGATTACATGTGTGGGGTAGGTCACAAATTCCTCTGCCCCCAGGTTATAAGCTTGTGTCACACATGTCCCTGTCCCTCAGTGTTCCCGCAGCTGTGGTGGAGGCTCTGCAGTGCGGGACGTGCACTGTGTGGACACACAGGATCTTCGGCCACTGAGGCCATTCCATTGCCAGCCTGGGCCCACTAAGCCACCTGCTCGCCAGCCCTGTGGGACCCAGCCCTGCCTCAGCTGGTACACCTCCTCCTGGAGAGAGGTGAGGGGGCATCTGGGGTGGACCTGGTCCTCCCAAAGAACCTAGCCAGGCTCACCGCCATGCTGATACCTTTCCTCCTTCCCAGTGCTCTGAAGCCTGTGGCGGTGGTGAGCAGCAGCGGCTGGTGACTTGCCCAGAGCCAGGCCTCTGTGAAGAGGCACTAAGACCCAACGCCACTCAGCCCTGCAACACCCACCCCTGCACACAGTGGGTGGTGGGGCCCTGGGGCCAGGTGAGTTGGGCTGCAGGGAGGGTCAGGAAGCTGGAAGAACAAAGAGGGTGTGGGATGGCTGGGTGCCAGGACACCAGGGAAGCCTGGGAGGAGGGAAATTTGGGTTGAGACCCAGCAGAGGGTCAGCGATGCCAAGAAGAGGGGCAAAGCAACAGAAGCTCCCGGGCCAGATACAATGGGACAAGGGGACAGAGAGGGAGCCCATGGTGGGCAGGACTGCTCCCTACCAGATTAGTCTGGTCCCTAGAGGTTCAGGAATCTCTGATTTGCTCCTGAACCAGCCCCTGAAGGTAGCAGGGCCTGCACTCTGCAGAGTGCAGAAACTGCAAAGTGACTGGCAGGTAGCTTTGCTTTGCTGGACCATACTTGTCCCATCTTAAAAATGGGGATGGCATGGGAGGGCAGGACTGGGAGCCATAAATAAAGCTGCACAATCAAGCATAAGGCCCATATGGTCAGCACAGATAAAGCTTGCTCTCAGAGCATTTCACACCACCAGGTCCCTAGCTGAGATAATACCTAATTTAAGAGGGGGCGCTGAGAAACTTACAGCCTTTTCTGCTCCCCGGAGTACTGTGGTTCCTATTCAGGTCTCTGACTACTCTGCCAGGCCTCAGGTGGGATTGTATGGGATGCTCACTGCCTTGCCCATTTCCGCTGCATAAGAGCGGATCCCGCTGGCCATGCTCCCAACCCTGTGGAGGCTGCTATGGCCAGGGCACTAGCAGGGAAACACCACTCCCGTTGTGGGTGTGGCCACCAGGACTCTCCTCATCCCCTGTAGTGCTCAGCACCTTGTAGAGGTGGTATCCAGCGGCGCCTGGTCAAGTGTGTCAATGTGCGGACAGGACTTCGTGAGGAAGACAGCAATCAGTGCAGCCATGAGGCCAGGCCTGAGGGCTCCCGGCTATGCAGCGCAGAGGACTGTGAAGCCACTGAGCCTCCACGTGAGTGTCCCCTCTCCCAGCACTGGATCGCAAGTGGGCGGGGTGAGGACATGCCAACTTCACAAAGTACTGGTGCACGGAGGCAGAAGGGGCTCTGTGCTGGAAACTAGCCCCCCCCCCAGGGGACACAGGCAGCTTCTCCAGCCATGGAAGAGTGGGGGTTAGCCCCCCAAATTGTGCATCCTCAGGTGAGCCCCTTTTCCCTTCTGGGAAGGCCAGGATGTCTCAAGGCCTTCCATTCCCAGCTAGCTAGAGGAAGGAGCCAGGAGTAAGCAAAGGGACTACAGGAAGGACCTCCCCTAGGGTGCTGCTGGCACCCTGTGCTCCTGGCTTCCGGGCCAGCTGGGTCCTTTGGGCAGGCAGAAGGGCCTAGGCCAGAGGTGGCTCTGTATCCCACCCCCCCACTTCCTTCCTGAGCCACAGCTGCCCCCAGCAGTGCTAAGCACAGGAAACCCCATGACCCTGGACTCACACCTGGGTCTGGTCATCAACTGCATGGCCTTGGGCTCTGCTTCCCTTCTTCATGTGTGAGAGGCTAGCAGCCCTTGTCCCTGCACAGATAGGGTCTGGGGTGAAGGCCTGGGGTGCAAGGCACCTAGAAGTGTCACTCAGTTGGATCTGGGGTCTCTGAGGCTGAAATAGCCCACCCTTGTAGAATAAGTTTAGTTTCTTTGACTCCTGACGTGAGAAAAGAATTTTTAGGACTCTTCACTAAGAGGCAAGAGAAAGGCTAATCTAATAGATGGAGGTTTTAGGGTGCACTCAAGAGTGCAGCACAGGCAGTGCACCGGAACTGGGTGTATTTCAAGGTGTCTTTGAGATCAGTGATCTAAGATGCATATTCTCACTGTCAGCTCACAATGCAAGCCACTTGCCTATGTTTGAAGTTGAGCTTTGCTGCCTACCAATACTGCTGCTTCCTTGGGGGTGGAGGAAACACAGTTTACAGGTGCAAAGGACAGGTGTGGCTGTAAGACCTTTGGGAATTTTGTTTTGAGTTTCTTTAAAGGAAAAGAGCTTAAGTTTGTATTCTGAAGCTGCAGTTAAGTACAGTTTTAAAATCTTGATTTCCTTGTCTCCTTTCTACTGTTTTACTTCTCCTAAGAAGTGCTCAGGGTATGTGACTACTTCCCCTCCTTGAGGCAGCCACTGCTGTCCTCCATTGTAGTCAGGCAGAACCCAGGCCCCTGTACAACAAGGAAACACAGGCGTGGCACTCCATACAGAGCAGCACTCCTCTGCCTGCTGTCTCTGTCCCCAGGCCACTGGCTGTTGCACAGCCCACGGTGTCCAGCAATTGCCCCAGCCTACCCTCCCTCCTTTGCTCTATACAGCATCCTTCACCAGCAGCCAGTTGCCCAGTGGCCATAGCTTACTGCACTGAGTCTGACGGGAATGTCCCATTCACCTCATGTCCATGGTCTCAAGGCCCTGCAGAAGTGCCAGTCACTGAGCCTGCCTGTGTAGCCCCTGCCTGCCTCAGCACTGTCCTGCATGCCACCTGGGGTTGGAAGAGGCTGGGACCCTCTGTTCCACATATGTAGTTCAGAGTCCACAGGAAGTTGGGTGGTAAGGATGGTCCAATGGGTAGCAGGAATTAGGAACAAGCCTGGCTTGGGGGCTTGAGCTTTATGGTCTCCAGGGTAGTGTGGGCGGTAGGGGAGACCTGGAGGAAAGGGAGGTGGTTGAACAGGCAGTCCTCCCAAGTGAGTTTTCTGCCACAGCCAAGATGCCCTGGGAGGTATCCTGGGCTGAGACTGAAATTCCCAGGATGCTAGAATAGTCATGCAACTGTGGCAGGACATTTGGAAACGCTGGGACCTCAGGATATATGACCACCTTGCCTGCCAGTGGAGCAAACAGGCCTGAGAAGCTAAGAAGCTTCCCAGATCCTCAGCAGAGTACAAGTTAGGTCTGTAGCACTCGATTGGGAGGAGGGATTGCACTCCTTGGACCCAAATCTGTGTGGCAAGCTGGGAGGCAGCTGGGGACCATCAGCAACACAGGAAGCAAGGCCAGAGGCTGAAGGCCATATCCCAAAATAGATAGCTCAGGGCAGGAAAGCCTCCAGGCCTAGTCCTTGAAAGCAGCCTGCAGCCCCCTCCCCAGGGCCTACACTCAGCTTAGGTGTCCCTTTATAACTATGTGGGGGCCTTGGGGAGCTGTTCCCAGGTTCTTGGTGTCCCAAAGAACTGAGCATATTAATCAAGAGCAGCAAGAGATGCATTAAAGGGAATGAAGCGAATGTCACTTGGTTTAGAGTGCCTAGGAGAAAAGCTTGCGTCTACAGAGACCATGCTGGCTCTCTCTAGCCTGGGGAAGACCTGTGGCTGGGACTGACAGGAGTCTTGGCCTGGTAGTGTACTGCCTCAGGGAGGTTCTCCATGCAAGATTTCGAGAGACAAGGATCAGAGTGTTCAAAACCCAGCGTTCATGCATGCATGTGTATATACAAATGGCTGCACACAGGCCAGTCCTCTCATTTTTTACACATGCCTAGAGGTTCTGGGTAACAGGGTGACCTTTATCTGTTGGTTTCCTGATGTTTTTGACGTCATCGTCCTTGGTCGGTCTGGCCTCTCGACTCCTACTCTAGTGCTTCCTGTTGTTCACTTGTCCTTGCTCTACCTCTTGTCTCACCCTGATGGCCTTTGTGACTGCACACAAGGCCTACTCCCTGGGCTTCACTGCTCATGAGAAACGGAGGGCTGGCTGAGGGGTGGACCTCTACTCTGGCCTGAGAACCTGCCAAGGCCCATCATGGGGAGGCGCTGCCTAAAGCCCAGTGTGGTCTCTAGGGACTGAGGAGGCACAGACCACTGCAGCCTTGAAACTCAGTGGTGTGCCAGGACTTGTAAGGTATTAGGGGTAAGCAGAGGTGGGGGAACACAACCCCCTGGATGGGTCCTTTGGGTACCTTAGGTGGTCTAGATGTCTGCTAAGGTGGTCTGGAGTAGGTCTGCTACAACGATCTAGGAAAAGGTATCCTGAAGTGAGGGGGGTTAGGTTGGATCACCTACAGTGAGCTAGGATGGGTCATTTGAAGTGTTCCACAATGGAGTCTCCTGAGGTGAGGTCGGTTAGGATGTCTGGTGTCTCTTGACGTGGACTAAGACAGCAGTTTCCTGGAGTGGTCCTAGATGGGTCTCCTGAGGTGGGCTGAGTCACCTGAAGTGGCTAGAATGGATCTCCTGAGGGGTAGGATGAGGTCTCTTGAGATGGATTGGGATGGGTCACCTGAACTGAGCTAGGGTGGAGTATGAGATGAAGGGGCTAAAATGGCATCTCCTGAAGTGAGATGGGCTACAATGGGGTCTTCTGAGGTGGTCTAGGATGGCTCACCTCAGGTAGTCTGGGATGGGGTCCTCTGGAGTGAGGTGTGCTACAATGGGGTCTACTGAGATGAGGTGGCATCTCCTACAGTGATATGGGATCTTATGAGGTAATCTAGAATGGGTCACCTCAGGTGGTCTAGGATGGGGTCCTCTGAAGTGAGGTGGGCTACAAAGTGGTATAGCAGTGCCATTACCTGAGGCGGTCCTAAATAGGGTATCCTTAGATGAGGTAGGTCACCTGAGTAGTCTAGTGTGTGTTCTCTTTTGGTGAAGTGTGGTCTAGAATGGTGTCACTTGAAATGAGGGTTAGGATGAGTCACCTGACTTGGTCTACCATGAGGTCAGCTGAGGTAATACAATGGGGTAAAGCTTAGCTAGGATAGGGGTCACCTGAGGTAGGCTAGGCTGGGGTATCCTAAGGTGAGATGGGTGGCATGGTATCTCCTGAGGAGGGTTAGGATGGGTCACCTGAGGTGGTCTAGTTGGGGTGTCCTCAGGTGTTCAGGATGCAATCTGACATGCAGTGGGACCTCTGTCAGGTGAGATGGACTAGAATGGGTCACCTGAGTGGTTTAGTATGGGACCTCTTGAGGCTATCTGGATGAGCTCATCTCAGGTAGTCTAGGATGGGGTCTCATGAGGAAAGGAGGGTTAGGTTTAGTCCCCTGAGATAAGTCTTGGACTGATGCCCTGAGCTGCTCTAGGATGGCATCCCCTGAGATGAGCTAAGATGGAGTCTTAGTATTTTTTTCCAGAACCCCAGGCTAGGCCCTGCCAGCTCTCTGTATCTCAGATCCAGCCTTGGGCAAGTGGTAGCCACAACTGATAATTTGTAGGTTTAGGGCCAGAATTCCTCCAGAAATGGGAGAGCAGGGAGTTTATGCCCTGGTATTGCCTGCTGTTGTCTCTTTAGACTGGGGTTAGAGGGTAGCACAGGTAAATGTTCCAGAGAGCCTCTCAACGTAGCACCTGGCCCACTGCCTGACTTGTGCCTGCCCTGTGCCCAGGCTGCGAGCGAGACCGTCTGCCCTTCAACTTCTGCGAGCTCCTTCACACCATGGGCCACTGCGAGCTGCCCACTGTTCGTGTCCAGTGCTGCCGCTCATGTCACCCATCTAGCCATGAGGGCTTGTCCCATGGCCACCCGCATATAGACCATCGCTGACAAGGACCTGGGCAGGACACAGAGACTGTCAGGCTGCCCATGACACACAGACCTCAGCACCGCCCCTCATACCCCATGGTGCTAATCCTGCCCACCCTAGGGCAGGCAGGGACCCATCCCCTCAGGAAAAGTATTTTTTTATTATAAAGGTTTGCCTGTGTTTATTATTTTACATAAATATCTACTGTTCCAAACATAGCTTGGCTTTACCTCAGATGAGTAAACCTCGATCAGAACTCTACCCTCTATCCTTCACTCCTCGCCCTGGACCCTCTGTGGCTGCAGCCATTCCTGTTTGTGGGTAGAGCAGCACTGAATGTGGGCATGGAGGCCATCAGGGCAGAGGTGCATGTGGGGAGTCTGTAGCAGAGAACTGGGCATGGGAGACCGCGTAGAAGTGTATGGGTCTCCTTCTGTCCACACCGTGTAGTTTAGTTCATGTCCACCACCCAGCCTTCCCAGGGCCCCGATTCAGGTCCTCAGACCTGTTTCACAGGGTGGAGGCACACACATCCCCAAGCTGCAGAGCCCCTTTGTCCCCTTCACGGGCTGCCCTGCCCCGCCCCCCCACAGTTCTGCTAATTCCCACATGCAATGGGGAGGGGAGGAGCAGCCTGGCCTTTCTCCTCCTTTGTCCTTTTCCTTCATCTTGAACAGTGCTAGATGGTGGGGTAGGGCTTCGTGTCCCCTTCTCCACTGCCAAGCTTAGGCACCAGGCTTTACCACCCTGACTGTGGCCCAGCATTGTGGCATCTGCCTAACCACAGCCTCTTCCCAGTGGAGGAGCCAGCATGTGGTGTATACATATGAGGAAGCAGTTGAGCGTGATGGTTCTCAGGCAGGAAGGACTGGACACTGTCATCATCCCAGGCCCAGCTACACCCACGCCTTCCCTCTGGCTGTAGCCTTAGACCTTCACTTCTTCTTTAAGTCACCTCCATTCCCTATTCCAGGTGACATCCCAGGCGGCACAGGCCCAATGGAGACCCCAAGTCTCTGTCTCCTCTTGTAAGCACTGAGTGCCCTCCACGGTGCCCTCTATGCACCAGGCAGGAAGTCATCTGAGGTACATCAGGAAAGCACAGCCCTGCATCTCCGCTGTCTTTGTAAGGAGGTCCTGGGTACACTCACAGAGTAACAGCATCTTCGAGTTTCATCAGGCAGACTGCTCACAAGGACAGGAGCAGGGGCACACATGGTGGTGTAGTTCTAGAGTCCCTAGCGCACCTCTGCTGCTGCTCTCAGGTTCCCCACAGAAAGCATCTTACAGCCCTGGCTTGCCTCATAGTTCTTCTTTCTAGGGCCACCTCACCCCACGCAAAGACATTTGGTCTCGTTGTTTTTCTAGTGGTAGCCAAGGTGTCTCCACAGTGGCAGCTGAGCAGGAGACAAATGAGCCAATGACCAGGCAGGCCTGGGTAGCTGGCAGAAGGCCACCTGTCCTCTGTAGGCTGGCTCCTGCTACTGTCTCCTGCTACTGTCCCCAGACCTGGCCTATGGCTTGGCCACCGTTCTTAGGGCCACTGCTGCTGGCAGAGGCATCCTGTCCCAGCCACCCCACTGGGCAGAGTCACCTAAAATTGATGGCCACAGTCAATGCCCTTGGGTGAACCCAAACACAACATTACATAAAGGAGTTTATTTTATCCTGAACATCAGTACAGAAGCTGCTGTCATATGGAAGGACAGTCACCTGCTGCACAAAAATACAACATTAGATAAAAAACAAGGGGGGCTCATGCAACCATGCAAATGCTTCATTAGGAAAACCTGACTGGGGTTTGCCTAGGGTGCTTCCTATGTCAGCATAACATATTGGAAATCACAGTGTTTTCTGCAATCCAAAGTCCTAGCTCCCACTGTCCAGCTGTTAGCCTGATGACAAGCAGCACCAAGCTACCAAGGAAAGGAAAGTGAGGAGAGGGCACGTAAACACCAAGTTCATGGCTGAAGGTAAAGATGATATAGAGGAAAGAGCAGTCGGGAGACTCAGGCTTACATAAATACATACAAGGGAGTCGTGCACACAAAATAGAACTTGTTACAGAAAATAGATGTACAGAATCTAGAAAAATGTTGATAAAATAGCCTACAAAAATATAAACTGTAGTAAAAATATATAAAAGTATTAAAAAGTTCAACCTATTTAAAAACAACAACTGCAGAGCTGGCAACTCCACCAGCCCCAGCGTGCAGACCATGTGCAAGACGAACAGCGCACCCGCTGTAGCCAGAGGTGCTCTTCATGTAGCTGGTGGAGGGGCCAGGGGGGTGCCAGGGATAGGACAGGTCTCAGCTACAGGAGACAGTGGGGCTTCAGCCTATCCTGTCCCCAACCTGGAACCAGACCAACACCTCCCCCTACCACCCCTTCAGGAAGATACCCAGTCCATTTCCAGGATCACTGTTCCTACATACTGCCTGGTCACAGAGGAGCCCCCACCCTGCAGGCACCACAGAGATGCATCTTTCCAGGGCAAGCCAGACCAAACATGTACACTCCTGAGGAGCTATTATGGCAGCTTGGGCTGGCACCTCGTGTGGAAACTGACCTGGAGCTGACCCAGAAGGTACCCACCCCTGTCCCCTGTGCCTCCTCAGCAGCTGTCCCCAGCTAATGGCCTCTCCAGAGGAGGGATGAGGTCCACCAACAAGTGACCTGTACCTGAGAACAGTAGCAGACTGTGGCTCCCCACTCAGGGGCTGCTGTCTGGAGAAGCCAGGCCTCCAAACCCACTTCCAAGACACACACAATGGCAAGACACATTTCTGATACAAGCTGCTGAATAGAGAGACCAGCTCCCTCTGCATAATACAGAAGCTGAGTTCAGTATATGTGCTAAAGTAGTAATCCAGCCACAAAACCCACTAGAAGGCTGACAGAAGAAAGAAAAACCATAGGAAAACTGGTTACAGGAGCACTTAAAACTGCATTGCCTTAGGGGCTGGGGATTTAGCTCAGTGGCATAAGCACCTGCCTTGCAAGCAGGCAGTCATGAGTTCGATCCCTGGTACTGATAAAAAAGAAAAAAAGACAAAAAAAACAACAACAAAAAAAACTGCATTGCCTTGATTCTTAGGAGTATGATTATATCAACTAGAGACGTTTTCAATTTTTTTCCGGGTAGTGTAAAATACTTCATGTAAGACTGCTTCTCTTGTATTGAGTAATACTGTGTCAGGAAACACAATACCCACACCTTAGGGATGGTCCCAATCAGCTCAAAATAAAAAAATAGCCAGGACCTGCCTGGCAGCCTGCCACGCCACACATGGGGCCACGGGGATCCCATGTCTTCACCAAGAACAAGGCTGTCTGGCAGCCGCATGGGGCTGGGTGAGTGCTCCCGTGAGCCCCCACCTCAGCAAAAGTATCATTAAGCTCGGGTACAGGAAGACACAGGAGCACTGGCCACCCTGGGATCTTGTCCACTAGCTGTGCAGCCACCTGAAAAGCAACTCCATACCTGCATCTACACCCTCCCCAGGGGCAGGCAGTTCACCTAGAGTCCTATCCCAGCCATACGTGGAGAATGGCTTCCATAAGTCACCTTTTCAGCTGGGAAGTTTTTCCACAGATGCCAAGCAGAGGGCCAGCTGGGGCATGACCTTCTCACACAGGGCTGGTGCAGGGCCAGGCCCCCACTGTGGAGGGGGAACCACTAATGAAAGGCTATGCATGGCATGGCAGAGGAAAGCTCATGGGCTTTCAGCAAAGGCCACTCCAGAACAAAGGTGTGCTTGCTTTTTAAGGAAGCCCTTCTGTGCACACTGACCTCACCCCATGGAAACAGCCTCACTCTGAACCCTTGGTGCAGCCTCCAAGTGCTGCCATTAAAACACACTCACATCTGCTCACTATGTACAAGAGGAGCACAAGAAGAGTAACAGACATGGGAGGCACCCAGAAAGGCCGGTTTTCCTGGGGTGAAAACCAACCCAGCTGGCAGAAGCTGTAAACAGCTGACAACCAGCTGATAAGTGCATAGTGACACTGATCAGACAGAAAGCAGGACTGCAACGCATGTGACTAAACGCTACAGTGTGATGTGGCTGTAAATGCAGCAGACTCCTCTCCAGGTCCAAGCAGGATAAGGAAGTGTAGTCTGGCTCTGGACATCCGCCCCACAGAGGCCACAGATGTTATACCTGGGCATTAAGTGAGCAGCGACCCCTGCAGTTCACTTTGGACATACTTTGGTTACCATAGCAAAGAGCAGCATCTGGGGGAGGGGTCTCAGGCATCCTCCTCCTCATCACTGACCAGCCCACCCTTGTCAGGGCCAGGCTCCCGCTCACGCAGGAAGTCCTCACGGATGGCCTCCAGCTCGGTCAGTTCCTGCCGCACCTTCTCCAGGTGATAGGCACGTCGGTTCCGGATCTGGCGCAGAGGAAAGGGATTCAGATCCACAAAAGAGATGTTGATCAGCTTCCTGGTGTGATAAAAGGCAGAAAAGGGGGTCAGTGAGGCTGAGTGCTCTTCAGCCCCCACAGCAGTAAAGCCTGGGGGCAGGCAGGAAGGAGACCATGCTGGGGGGTTGGGTGGGTGGAGAGACCTCCTCCCACAGAGGGGCACAGTGGCCAAGGGATATTCTTGAGTCCTACCTAGACACAGACTCTGGCTCTGCTATGCTTGTCTTTTGGTCTGATTACCATCAGAACATTCAGTGTCCCCTCCCAGAGAATGAGGGTTCATGCAAGCAGTGCCTAGTGTTTGTTCCACATCTGTGGGTGCTGGTGGGCATGAGTCCTCAGGCCAATGCCAGGCCGGATTGACTGGGCAGCAGCAGATGCCTGAGCAAACCAGCAATGACAATCAGCAACACAGACCTGTGCAGCATGAGGGTTTCTATCACCCTTGGGCCAGGGACCAATTTGCAGTGATTCGCAGCAGAACTGTAACTTGCCTTAACCACTGCCTAGCTGTCTTAAGACAGAACTAAGACCTGCCCCCAAGGCTGCTGCTGCTCCCAGCACAAGGTCAGCCCACTACACCTGGGCCCAGGAGGAGCTAGCTTCCCCAGCAGGCATTCTATATCCTGCTGCCTACTAAAAGTCTGATACAGGTGCAGCCAGCAGGGCTGGGTCAGAGTGGCACCCCAGTCATCACCCAGATATGTGGGCTATATTTCACCTGGTGTGCAAAGTGCAGAGGTACAAGCTTCAATCACAACTCCTTCTCCATATTTACTACTCTATGTCTGAGGCTTGCTTGACAAACTGATAAGGACATAACAAGCAAGAAAGGCCACTGTTTAGTGCCAATCTTCCAGTGCTCTAGGACAGGTAAAGTCCCAGAGATAAGAGCAGCTCTGAGCAACAGACACTGTGCAGACTGGTGGGGAAACAAAACACTGCGAGTATTGGGTCCTGGAAGCCCACACACCAGCCCTCCCTGCTGCAGCCCATGACCTCACAAACCCAAAACCTAGTGTTCTCCCCTTTGCAACAGAAAATGAATACTGGAGCTACGGCGTGGTGATACACACCTGTAATTCCAGCACCTGGGAGGCTGAGGCAGGAAGATCACTGCAAGTTCGAGGCCAGCCTGGGCTACAAAGTGAGTTCAAGGCCAGCCTGAACCATACAGTGAAGTGAAACCCTGCCTCAAAAAAAGACACACATGGGGCTGGGGATTTAGCTCAGCAGCATAAGCGCCTGCCTTGCAAGCAGGCAGTCGTGAGTTCGATCCCTGGTACCGATAAAAATGAAAAAGACAAAAAAAGACACACACATACACACACACACACACACAGAAAAAGGAAAGAGAGTGAGCACTAGGAATCAAAACTAACATTCCCACTCCTTGGTTCTATCATCTCAGGAGCAGCACAAGCAGACCCAGCATCACAGGGCACCCAGGGTCTTGCTGCAGAGAACATTTCAACCTGTATCACCCAATATAGCCTGTATGTACCTGGCTATAGAAATCACTCCTTCCTGTCATGCAAGACCCATCATGTGCTGCAGAACTGGTAATCCTAAAACCATTCTTGTGGGGCTTATTAAACTATTAGGGGCCCCATGCAGAAGGTCCTGGACACCTGCAGTCTTAGCACCACCCATAATCCTGCCAGTGCACATTCAAAGCTATATGAAGACCTGGACTTTCTAAAGGGGAACTGCATGATGCTGCTCACAAGATGGCGCTGCAGGACCATACATGACTTGGTGGGCACTTGCACTGCCCAGTCCTAATGGGTGTTTCAGGACAGACTGACAAGCTGGAGAGGTTCCATCTCTGAACTACACAGCCTTTCAACACAGGGGTTAGCTGTTGGCCTGCATGAGCCCATCCAGGGTCTTTCTTGACATTGGCAGAAAGCTTTCAAGGCTCCCAAGGAGTGCTCACAGTCAAGTATGACCCTCAGATATCCTCTGGGCAGAGAACATGTGTTATGTGTGTCAGTGTTGATCCTGACAGCCTGAAGTGAAAGACACCAAAACAGTGAGGATGCCAGAGAGCCTATGCAGTATCCACCAGCTCCTCCTGCTGCTAACACCCCCATTGTGGTCCAGGGGACACAGGAACTGCCCAAGCCAGAGCCTGCATTCTTCCAGATTCAGACCCTCTCACCTCAAGTTGCTCCAGCTCTCCAGCCCCAGGCCATCTCTCCCCAAGCAGAGGGTAGACCCCTCGCATACCCATCATTCCTGGACTCCCAGGGGCCAGCTGTATGCCAAAATAACCTGTCCCTCTCTGCCTAAGTTGTTCATAGTGACATCCGGTCTCAGTGTGTTAGAACACCTGCAAAAGCCCAGTCAGTCAGTTCTGCCGTAGCCAGCTACACACTCGGACTGGTGACCCAGCTAAATCACTTCCACAGGTCCCTAAGCACTCCCCAGGGGGAGCTCTGCCCAGCCTCTCCCCTCATCACCCTTCCTAGCCTAGGCCCTCTGCCTGGACCTCTTGGTCACAGCACCAAGGGTAGGGCCAGCTTCCCCCACCACCAAACTCCATCTAGCGCCCTGAGTCTGGAACAGGCTCCATTCATAACAGACACTCAGCAAACAGCTATAAGCACACAGACCAAAGCTATTTCTTCTCTTAGGAAGGAAATTCCCTCTCCCACACAGCACCAGAGTCTGACAACAGTGTGGGACCAGTTATTCTGCGGGGTTAGATGTGTAAGTTTCTGTTCCTCTGATCTTTTTGGGGAAGGGAAGGTGCTTCCCAGGACTCACCGAGCATCAAGGATAGTGCGGGTAAAGTAGCGGAGATACTTGAATATAGACATTGAGTCCTGTAATTTCAGGATCTCCTCTTCCTTGTATTTAAAAACTGCCAAAGCAAAACGGAAAATAACCTGTAGGAAAGATAGAAAAGCATGTGAATGAAGACACAAGCCTGGGTGCTGAAGTCCTGAGGAACTTCCCAGAACGAGCCCTACCCTATGTACACACTGGCCCCTGGGCCAATTCTCACTGGCCATGTGAGCTTTCTCATAGGAGCATAAACTCACAATCCAGCCCCAACCACTTCCTGTGCAGTAAGCAGACGTGGAATCCCAAGTTCAGGTAATATTTAGGTCAATACAATAAAGTGAAAAATCTTATTTATTTGCTTGCTTGCGTGGAGTACTGGGGAGTGAACCCAGGGCCTCACTGTGAGCTACATCCCCAGCCCATTTTCTTATTCAGAGAAGGCCTCGTACTCTGAATATCTGAATATCTCGTATATCTCTGTACTTCCCTACCTGAGGCCTGATTCCTATACCATTTCTGCCCTCACTGAGAAATCTTTGCAGTAATAGCAGACTGGATCATCAGGTTGTTAATGCACTATGTTACAGAGAAGTTTGAATATCTGTGACCCCTAGGTCCTTGGCCTAGCACCTCCACCTGAGGATCAAGCCCACAGGTGCAGCTGCACAGATACAGAAAGACAATGGTCTCTGAGAGTCGGCATAGCAATCGGAAGTGGCATGAAACTGACATCCTATCATCCACCGGGGCTGTTGTATAACCTGGTTCATCTATACAAGCAAATGCTGTACAGTTACAAAACGTGTGTCAGACCTGGACACCTGGAACTGTCTCCAAGATACACCAAGGTAAAAACCTACATAAATATGCACTGAATACTTACAATACATGGAAAAGAACTAGGAGACTGGGGAGAGGGGCCTCCTTTCTACTATCTACCCTTAGTTTTTGATAAGTAGTGTATTTACATATTAAAATGTATACTAGTTTTTTAAAATACATAATAGGAATGGGCCGGAGATTTATCTCAGTGGAACAGTGCCAACCTGGCAAACGTGAGGTCCTGAGTTAGGCTGCCAGTACCCTCCCCCCCCAAAAAAACCAAAAAAACAGGACGAGAGGAGGCTTATGAGCAGTCAAGCTGTGATGCTGGGCTGGCTCTCCATCCTCTCTGATCAGATCTGCACCTCCATCTCCTCAACCACACAATGCAGATGATGCTGACACCTATAAATGCTGAGGCTCAGACTACAAACTATATAAGCTTCTAGACCTAATACAGGACTCAGTACTGTGGTTTCTGTTCTATTCTACAATGCTGGGATGGAACTGAGGTCCCATGTAAGCACTCTGTCCCTTAGCCACATCCCTACCACTGAGCACTACAAATGGATAAGCAGTGATCATGGCCGCCCAAGGTCCCCAGGGCCACACCGTACCAAAACCGCCAAGGCACTGTGGGAGGCAGTCACTCTGCCCTGCTGTCTGCCTGCCAGCCACCAGGAATATAACTAAGAACACAGCCAAACATACCCACCTTTGGACCCTCATACAGGAAAGAGTCCCATATCTTAAAGAGGATGTCACTGACCACGCTGTCCACAAACACCACCAGGAACCAGTTGAATGTGATGAGAGTATAATCAACTTTGTACTGTTCAAAGTGGGCATGTAATCGAGGCAGCTTCTCATTCATGAGGTCTCTGAACACTCGCTGGTCCACCTGAGGAGGGAGCAGAGGAGAAAAGGGTCATGGTTGGCCACGGCACTGGGCAAGAACACAAGGCCAATCATTCAAACTGAGAGCAGAGGGTGAAGTCATAGAGACAGAGACCATGTAGCTGTTCCAAACCCACTGTCGGGACTGTCACAAGGCTAAGCTGCTCTGCAGCTCAGGGATGACTGAACTTGAGTGGCATGGGTGTGCATCCAACATCCAAGCCCTGGGAAAAGCAGAGCACAGTGATGCAGAGACGTAAGGCCAGAAGTCTGAGTCCTAGGCAAAAATAGCAAAACTACCCTTGAGCCAAAAAGTGTGACATTACCCACCTATCCACATGACACACATTCACCAAGCTGAGGGAGTGGCGGGGAGCAAGGACTCTGGCCTGAGGGACCCAGGTGGGGATCTCAGTTCCACCACCACCAGCTAGGTGCTGTCAGCAAAGAATTTTCTGTAGTCTGTGCCCTATTGCGAAGATGGCTGTTGTGAGGCTCACACAAGGCTCATGTGAGCTACCTATTTACTGAACACAGACATGCCAGGCAAGGGGCCTGTAGGAGATGGGATGGCACAGTCTCAACCTGATCTCAAGGATGCAGAAGGTAAGCAGATAGACACATGAACTGGCACAGTGACGATGGCAGGTCCTGTAAAGGTCACTCATGGGAAAGAACAGCACCCAATGTTCAAGCCCCCTGGCTTCCAGACAGCATGGTACAGATGAGGTGGCACTGCCTGGCAGAAGCCAGTCACAAAAGCTGCCATAACCAGGTCAAATCCTTGTCCTGCAGGCTAGCGACTTTCTGTGGCCCACACAAAAACAGCCAGTTTCATCTGTGGCTCAGTCAACATTATCCATGTGTACATATACAACAGGAACAAAAGCACAGAACAGCATTTATTCCCATACAATGGACTCCTAATTCCAGTCTACTCAACTTTACCAGACACACCAGTCCCCAAAACCACTTTCTATACTCAACTTGAAAGACATAAGAGGGATACAGCAGTGTCTTGCAGTTGTGAACACTCAGGGCCGTCCCCTCCACTAAAGCAGGGCAGCAAGGCTGACCAGAGAGCCCAGTGAAGCCCTACCCACTGGTGTCCCAGTGAGCCCATGGCCAGATGCAGGCAGTGGATGTGAGCCCATGAAAGGCAGCAGGAAAGAGGGCACAAAGATTCATGACTTCGTGGAGACAAATCTGCAGAACTTAAAACTCCCATACTGAGAGAGATAAGGAGAGATGCTCAGGGTCCCATGCTGACATGCATGGCAGGGCAGAATTGTGGTGCTGGGGCCAGATCAGGGAAAGTGGCATGTATGGGTACCCATGGCAACTCTATTGGGAGACCACATTGAAGCTCAGGAAAGACCTGGACTCAAAGAACCACACAGGAATGGCAGATCTGGATTAAAAAAACAAAACAAAACAAAAAAAAAAACTAGATAGTAACAAGGCCCCAAGCCAGACCCTAGCGGTCAGGGCAAGAGTGACAGCAGCCAGCATGAAGGACCCTGCAGGGTTTCATGAACCATACACATGCACCAAGACCGTGGTGCAGTGTGTCTTCTCATGGGCAGCCAATAGGCACAAACTGAACAGCCATTGTGGAAAGCAACTTGGCAGCACCTAGAATTAGGAAGATGCTTCCCCTCACAGTAAAACTACTCTTTGAAAACTACTCTTTGGAGGATATTATCCTCAAACTTGCAAAAATATACCACACATCAGTAAGTTAGAACAATAGGTGTGTCACTCTTGAGATTCCTGGAATACTAAAAAACCTGAAGCAAGATTGAGGCTGTCCAACATAAGCCCACAGGGTATACATGGCTTGCCTGAGCAGAAAGGCCCCATTTCACTCAGCACTGCAGGCTGGACACACCTGATGCAGACAAATTTTTTTTCTTTAAAAGAAGTTTCAAAAATCAAAAATGTTTTTGTTTTTTGTTTTTAAAATCTATGGTTACATAGGTCTTAATGCTACTACTGGTTAAAATTTTAAAACTTTAAAAGGCTATATAACCTATGAAACTAAAAAGCATTGCTACTTTTACAAAAATGATAGTAACAAGATTTAAACACACCCCAGAGTAAAGGACCACAACACGTAAGAACTCAGGGTTGGAAATACATATTTTTGGCCAATTTGCTTCCTGATTAGAGTAAGAGACAAAGTGTCAAAGATATATTTGGCTGAAATGAATTATAATTAATTCTCTTAAACACTTAGAAAACAAAAGTACATACAAAGCTGTGAAGCCTCCAGGATATGGGCCTCTAGCTTTCCTCTCCCATCCCCCTGCCAGGTGACCCCTGAGTAAGTGTCAGAACTACCACAGAAGGCACTTTGGATGTGGCCAAGCCAGGCCCATCATCCCTTCCCAAAATGCCTACCCATGCCCATCCTGGGAAGTCAGCATCACACCAGGGACAGTGCTCTCCTGCTGGTGTCCCTCCTGTCTCTATACTCACACGTCCACCACACATTCCCGTGCCTCAAGGTCCTGTGTATTTCTTTTTTTTTTTTTTTTCAGTACCGGGGTTTGAACTCATGACTGCCTGCTTGCAAGGCAGGTGCTTATGCCGCTGAGCTAAATCCCCAGCCCCTGGTCCTGTGTATTTCTAACACTCAATTCTTACAAAGCAGCACAGAGGTGGACAGCCTCTGGGATCAGTTGCTGAAATCCAGTACAAAAAGCCTCCCTCCCTCAGGGGCTTAACTTGGGTTGCATTACAGCTCTCATTCTATGAGCTGGTGACTGAAGCACAATACTTTCAAAAACACCTACATGATCGACATTCAGTACCCAAAAGTCAATAGCATTCCTATACACCAATAATGAACCTACCAACAAAGAAACAAACCAATCCCATTCATAACAGCTTCAAAAATTAAGAAACTAGGACCTGACCTAATCAAGGAAGTGAACAATCCCATAATGAAAATTAGGGAGCATTGAAGAGGACATTAGAAAGTGAAAAGACTGCTGGGTATGGTGGGTACAAGCCTGTCATCCCAGCACTCGGGAGGCTGAGGCAGGAGGGTCACTGCAAGTTTGAGACCAGCCTGGGCTGCAAAGTGAGCTCAAGGCCAGCCTGAACCATACAGTGAAACCTTGCCTCAAAAAACACCAAAAAAAAGAACAAAATGGATTACATCAAATTAAAAGCTTTTACACAGCAGTGAAGAGACAACCTACACAATAGGAAAAAAAGTTTTGGTAGCTACTTTCCTGATACAAGACTAACCTCTAGAATACATAAAGAACTCAAAAAATTAACCCACCAAAAAACAAATGACTCAATAAAAAAATGGTCAATACATCTCAAAAGAAGTAAAAGTCTCTTGGCCATCAAGAGACATGAAAATCAAAACTGTGAAAGTCATTCTTACCCCAGTCAGAATGGCTATCATCAACACAAAAAACGATACTGACCAGCATAGGTATAAAAAGAAACCGTTCTACTTTATTGGTAGGAATGTAAAGTACCATAACCACCATGGAAATCAGTGTGGAAATTCCACTAAAAGCTAAAAACAGAAATACTATTCCAGTTATACCTTTCCTGGGTACATTCCTAAAAGAATCAAAGACAATATACTATAGCAATCCATGTATATATGTGTTTATTACAATACAATTCGTAACAGCTAAGCAATGGAAATAGCCTACATACCTAGCTACAAATTTAGCCGTAAGGAAGAATGAAATCATGTCATTTGCAGGAAGGTGGATGGAAATCAACATCATGCTAAGCAAAATAACCCAATTCAGAAAGTTAAATATTTCACGTTTTCTCTTATATGAGAAACCTAAAAAATATAGAAAGACAGACTGATAGACACATACACACACACACCTAGAAGACAGATTACCGGAAATGAGAAAAGGAATAGGGAAGAAGGAAGGAAGCAGAGGACAAAGCGATTGAAAATGATCGAGATGTCGTATATGCATGTGTATCTCACTATTTTATGTATCACACACGCACGCGCACACACACACACACACACACTACCTGGGATCCTAAAAGGGTCTTTGTGTAATAGTCTCGAGGCATGAAAACTTCCACGATGGTAACCAGACACCAGAAAGCATCTTCTTGTTCCAGGTACAGGAGGGCCACTGCCACCAACCTGCAAGCAAGAAGGGAGAGTCAATGCCTCCCCTGTACCAGTCTTCACTGAGATGTCTACGAGCCATATCTCTCCTCTGGCCAAACTACAGCTAGCTGTCCAATAACTAATAAATGAATGTTCCTGAACAAGTGAGGCATTTCCTAAAATTTGAGAAACAAAGCTACATTTCCTTTGCCCTTTCATTTGATGAAATTATTTCCCAATGACTGGCCAGCCTCATTTAAAAAAAAAAATCTAAGATTTTGCTAATACAGCTATAATGCAGCTATTCTTTGATGTCACTGTTCAAAAAGTTATGCGTGATGGCATGGACAGCTATTTTGAAGATAACAAGAGGTATTATGGCAGCTATTGTTGATTTCAATTATTTTGTTTTGAGTCCTGTATCACTTTCACTGTCTTGAGTGGCTTTATTCTGTTATTCTGTTTTATTTTGTTTGGTTTTATTCTCTTAAAAATAAAAAAAAGTCTCAACTACTCCTTTTATGCAATGAAAAAAACAGATGTGGATATAAGTAACAAAGAGTACAAGATAGTTTAAAAACAACTTTCCAGAATCCATGTGCAATGGCAAGCAGAAAACACCAAAATGACACCCAGGATTTGGAGGCAGATTTGTTTACATCAACAGAACACTGATCTGGATCATTCCCAAAATATCAGGTCCCAAAGGCCAAGGAGGAAGGTATTCATGGGATTGAAAGGAGAAGTACAGAGGTAGAGCCTGTCTTTCATTGGTTCTTACAGTATGCATCACAGGGTTTATAGGAGACAGAAGCAATCAGAAATGCAACAGAAACTATTACCTGGGCAACTAAGAAACTGAAGTATACTGGCTGGGGGAGCCATTTTCTGTTACACATCTATCCTGCTTCTACACTGGAGGAATGAAACAGGGCCACAGACAAAGGAACCCCGCTGGGAGATTCTCTGAGACAAGCACATCTGGAACTGCACCTGGGGAGGTGGGAAAGGAGACCATGTGTACCAACTTTTACATTCTTTATAACAGAACCTTGGGTCTAGCTATTACACACTGTCACTAATCAAGAGACTACTCATCCAATATGTCCACATTTGGCTCAAAGTAGGTAAAGGGGAAGAGAAAAATGCTCTTTCTACTTAGCTAAAATCCAGCTCTGCCCATGTGTGATATGAAGCCTACATGCATCACTCATGGGAAAACTCTGATGCTCCATCTCAGATTTGCTTTTTACCCCTTCCTTACACAAAATTATAATGAACTCATCTCAAATTTTTTTTTTGAAAAGGCCTGAGCTAGATGAAGAGGTCTCCAGTCATCATGAAAAGGATGACAAATGACAAAGATGACAAATGACAGATGGAGAAAAACACTGCACAAAAGCACAGAGCCAAATCTCTATCACCTGATGATGCCAGAAAATACAGCAGAGCCTTTGAAAACATCACTAAAATGGACTGATGAAGACAAGAGGCCTGAATCACCTAGGAAGGCTTAAGTTTTTCTAATGAAGTTCTGGGTATTCAGAAGGCACAGGCATGAACCAAACAGTCAAGAGAAACATCCAGTGAAACAATTAAAATTCAAATACTTTAAGGGAGGTAGAGGTGGAGGTACAGAGAAAGAGCTTTATCTGGAAGCATCCCTTACAGACAAAGATTGGCTTCTAAGTCATCATCTGGTAAGCAGGGTACCACTGCACTCCCAACAGGCATGTTCAAGTCCCCCTTGGTTTCAGAGGTTGTCAGCTTCCAGTTAGTTTCAGAGCTGGGAATAATAAGTGAATTGTGGCTTTAAGTGAAACAAGACTGCTTTATTAAGCAGTCACCCATTTATGGGCTTTTTCTTTTTAAAATGGAGACTATCTAGGAACAGCTGAACTCCCTTTACTTTCTAAGGGCACAGAGACAGCTGCCCTGTTCTCACCACAAGCAAGGGCTTCCTTCCTTCCAGAAAATCATCTGGTTTTGTCTGGATCTTACCCAAGGAACAGTGCAGTTTGAAACCTTGCCTCCTGCCATACTTTCATTTCCGAAGCAAATAGTCAGCTCTTACCCCGAGGCCAGCATAAGACATGAACCAGAAACATAAAGGCCTCTATGCAGCTAGGATAAACACCAGCATTCAAAACTCAAGCTCATGCACTTGGCTTACAGGGGATTCTGCAAGAACATACAGTCTTCATTCTTTGTATTTCCAATAAGCTTGGTTACCTACATCACTACCAGAGAGGAATACAAATGCAAAGTACAATGCAACAGAAACCACAAACAGCAGGAGGTGAATCAGCCAGATATGGTCAGACTTGGGGTCAGAAGCAGGAAGCCATCTCTAGCTCTCAACACCCTGTCATAGAGAAGCCGTATGCAGAGGCCTCATTCTGGCACAACATGGCCCAGACCTAAAAGCCACATCAGTGATGGCAAACGGTAGAGCTTTCAATGATACAAACAGCCTGCTGTGGAACGCATGCTGTTGGTTCACCACAACTGAGCTAGATCATTAAAGGACAAGCCAGTGGCTTCTATACGCCCTGCTTAGAGAAATATGGAAGACATGTTGAGAGATAAGTGTAAGGAAAACAAGCTTAGGTCTTTCAAGAGCTGGGTTTCAATCATCTGAAGCACTGTTTAAGGCAATTTCCTAATTTACAAGAGTCCTATATAAATAAGGAAGAACCCTGAGTTCTCACTACACGCATTATCAACCAACGAAATCAAACTCTGATCAAAATCTATGTGTTACAGAACAAGGAAGAATGAAATTTCAAACTGAATTGCATTAGATTCTGTGTTCCTTTTTCCTGGGTACAGGGACTGAATTCGGGCCCTTGTGCCCTTTACCACTATATCCCCAGCCCAACTTCTGTATTGATACTTTCTGGAAGCACTTTTGCTTTTGTTATTCCAGAGATGAGCATGGTTCTTCACTAAAAGTAGCTTGCTGCAATTGCTTTTTTCCCTAAAACACTGGATTTTCTCGGTTACACAGGAAGGGAGGGAGCTTCCAGGCAGTGTCTGGTATTCACAATTCTTTGAATGGCAATGAGAACATGCTATCACTGTGCCTACCTGTTCAGCCCTTGGCAATAGCCAATGTCTGGGTTCCGCCAGGAAAAAGCAAGCAGGACATTGCGCAGCTTTTGGATACCCTCGGAGGTGGGGCAGGAATAGTGCTTATTGTTAGGCAGGGTTCGGAGCAAATCCAATTCAATCTGTTTGGAGGCCGGGTTCTGCTTCTCCAGGGCCTTCTGCAGCAAGACCTGGAAATAGCCTGGCGCTGCACCATCCTTGAACTTCCTCGTGTGGAGGTCCACACACCACTTCCATACCTTGGAACGGTGCTCGTGAGGAATGCCTGAGCGGATCAGGGTCTTTAGTTCTGGAGAACACACCATCTCCCTATTCACTGTGCTAGCAAAGTAGTTTTCCCACTTGACCCCAGTGGAAACTTCCTGGTTCTCTGTGAGATACAAAGTCTTCAGGTCCAAGGCACGGACCTTAGCAATCAACTTCTCTTCCTCATCGTCATCAGGCACAGTCCTGAACCCATAGATATCATATTCGCTGTTCAGAAAAACAAAAATGGAAATAAAAATGACCTTAAGCAAACAATGAGCTTCTTGATAATCAAAAGACAATTGCTATCTAGATGGGAAAAAAAATCAATTCCAAATGGTCTAAACTACTTAACGTAAAAAACACAGAAGAAAATATAGACAATGTCACAAAAACAAGACTGATTGGTTAGTCCCAGAAGTTTTGAACTCCACCCAGCCAAATGCTAGGCCCAGGCACCATATTCCATATATGCAATCTGGCTAGTTGCCTGGGTCCCAGAGGATGTGAGGTCAGCCCAACCCAGTATCCCAGTACATTCTTTGGGGGGAATGCCCAATTAGATGCACAGGTCCCAGAAGTTCTGAGCCATCCCAGCCCAGAGCCCCAGAGCCATTGATCAGGGAGCGCCTAGACTAGCCAATGGGTCCTGGAGTTTTCGAGCTCTGCCCATCACAGTGCCAGGCTCCAGCACCATAGTTCAGGGATGTGCCCTGACTAGCCACATGGATATCAAGGAAACTGAGCTCTGACCAGCCCAGCATCCCAGTGCAATCCATCAAGAGGTTGCGTGGTCAGCAGCACAAGTCCCAGAGGAAAATAACAAAATGAAAGAGAAAGATACAGTCTGAGACTTTTAGCCCAATGAGAACAAACCCAAGTGACAATGAAATGAAAGATATTGAAATCACACAACTGAACTTTCTGAAATGATAGCAACTGAAGTAAAGAAACAACTTCATGAAGCTATAGAGGAAATCAGCTCAGAAATAATCTCCCAGGTAAAAGAATAAATGACAAACATGAAATGCTGGGCCTGGGATTTAGCTCAGCAGCATAAACACCTGCCTGACAAGCATGAGGTCATGAGTTTGATCCTCAGTACCAAAAAAAAAAAAAAAAGAAAAGAAAAAGAAATAATAAGTACATCAAAAGAAGATCTAGAAAATAGAGGAACATAAGAAAATGATAGAAACCTTGAATGAACAATATAAGACAGAATTAGCACACAATAAACAGATTTAAAGAGATATTCAGGAAATTAAAAATTCCACTGAAAGCTGGCAAAATCACTTGAATGAGGCTGAAGATAGGCTCTCAGACCTTGAAGACAAAAAAGAAGCTTATGATCACAAAGAAAAGATCTCTTAAAAATAACAAGGAACCAGGAAACAATTCAACAGCTCCAAAATGATGCAAAGAAAAGTATATAAGGCTTATAGATGTCAACGAAACAGCAGGGGTTAACACACATTGACATAAGATTATTTACAGGAATAATAGCAGAAAATTTTCCAAGCATGGGAAAAGAATCTGATATATATATAAGTAAGGCAAATAAAACCCCAATTAGCCATAATCAAAATAAATCTTCACCCAGACATAAAATAATTAAGATCCCAGAAATTCAGCACAAGAACAGAATATTAAAAGCTGTCAGAGAAAAGAAAGAGATCACCTACACAGGAAAATCTATCAGAATCACAGCAGACTTCTAAACAAAAACCTTCAAGTCAAGAAGAGCTTGGAGTGAAGTATTTCAAGTCCTCAAAGCAAAAAATTTCCAACCCAGACTGATATAACATGCAAAACTATCTTTCAAAATCAATGGAGAAATACGATACTTCCATGACAAAGAACTGAAGAAATTCAGGACCACCAAACCAATACTACAGAGTACTGAAAGATACTCTAGAAAGAGAGAAAGATAACTACAATTTCAAGAACAACAGCAGAAGGAAACCATCAAGCAGGGCAAACACTTAAACAGGGAAAAAAAGTAGAGAACCAACAACAGAAAGATAACATGACAAGGATGAGGCAATATATATCAGTTATATCCATCAAGGTAAATGGCCTCAATTCACCAATAAAAAAAAAAAAAACAGACTGACAGAGGGAATTCAGAAGCAAAATCCAAGCCAGATGTGCTGGTGCATGCCTGTAATCCCATCACTCAGGAGGCTGAGGCAGGAGGATTGTTTCAAGTTTGAGGCCAGCCTGGGCTACAAAGTGAGTTCAAGACCAGCCTAAACTGCACAGTGAGATCCTGTCTCAAAAAGACAAAAAAAAAAAAAAAAAAAAAGAAAAGAAAAGAAAAGAAAAAGAAAAAAAAGAAACAAAATCCAATAAAATTCTGTAAGAAACACATTTAACTTAAAAGAAAATTCACAGACTACAATACAATACTCCATACCACAGGAACCCAGAAAACAGTAGGGATAGCTATTCTGTTTGCAGACAACAGGAGTATCAAACCAAGAATGATCAAAAGAGATAAAAATTAAAAAGGTCACTACATACTTGTTAAGGGAAAATTTCAAAATGAAGAGATTACAATCATAAATAATGTACCAAATATGGGAGCACCCAACTATGTTACACAAATCTTAATAAACATGAAAAATCAAATAAGCAATAATGCAGTTATAATAGGGGAACTTAACACCCCATTGTCACAAAAAGACAGATCAATCGAACAAAAAATCAGCAAAGAAATAACAGAACTGAATCGAACTTGTGAATAAATCGACCTAATAGATGTATACTGAGCGTTCCACCCAACAACATCAGAATACACACTCTTCCTAGTTGCACATGGGTCATTCTCTAAAACAGACCATATACTAACGCACAGAACATACTTAGGTAAACGCAAAGGAATTGAAACAATCTCATGCATATTATCTGACCACAACACAATAAAATTGGAAATTAATGGCAAAAAACTTCACAAGACATGAAAATTAAATAACACTCTCCTAAACAACCAATGGGTCACAAAAGAAATAAAACAGTATCTACAATCAAATGAAAATGCAAATACAACCACTGGAACCTGTGGGACACAATGAAAGCAGAATTCAGAGGAAAATTTATAGCAGTAAATTCCCACATCAGGAAAACACAAGTAATCTAATTCTGTACCTTAAACTTCTAGAAAAAGGAGCAAATCGAGCCTTAAACCCAAAGAAGACAAGAAATTATAAATATCAGAGCAGAAATCGAAGCAACTAAAACTAAGAATACAAAGAATTAACGAATTGAAGAGCTGGTTCTTTGAAAGAATAAATAAAATTGATAAACCCCTAGCTACCCTTATCGAAAAGCATAAGAAAAAAGCTGAGGATTTAGCTCAGCGGCATAAGTGCCTGCCTTACAAGTATGCGGTCACGAGTTCAATCCCCTTACCAAAAAAAAAAAAAAAAAAAAAAAAAAGAATAAGAAAAGACTCAAATTCACACAAGTAATGAAAAGGGTGAAATCACAACACCCTGCAGAAATACAGAAAATCATCAATACCTACTTTGAAAACCTTTACTCTCATAGGTTTGATAACACACAAAAAATAGACAGATTCCTAGAAACATATGGATTGCCAAAGCTGCATCAAGAAGATGTAAAACTGCTGAATAACCCAATTTCAATTAATGAAATTGAAAATGTAATTAGAACCTTACCAAAAAGGAAAGCCCAGGTCCTGATGGATTTACTGATGAATTCTACAAGAAATTTAGGGAAGACTTCTTGCCAAAACACCTCAAACTCTTCAATGATATTGAAAGGGAAGCAATTCTCCCTAACTCATTCCTGGAAGCAAATATTACCCTAATACCAAGACCAGAGAGACACCAGACCACAAAAGAGAACTACAGGCCAATGTCTGTAATGAACACAGATACAAAAATCCTCAATAAAATACTGGCAAATAGAATACAGCAAACCATCATGAAGATTATACACTATGATCAAGTGGGATTCATCCCAGGAATGCAGGGATGGTTCAACATATGCAAATCAATAAACATAATACACCATATCAACAGAGCAAAGATAAGCATCACATGATCGTCTCAATAAATGCAGAAAAAACTTCTGAAAAAATCTAACACTCATTCATGATAAAAACTCTACAGAAAACCCTATGGTCAGACAGTCTTTACCTCAATCTGGTAAAAGCCATATACAGTAAACCTACAACCAACACAGACAAAAACTGAAAACTTACAATCTAAAATCAGGAACAAGACAAGGATGTCCATTGTCACCACTCCTATTCAATATAGTCCTGGAAACATTAGCCAGACCAATTAGACAAGACAAAGAAATAAATCAAGTAAGAATAGGAAAAAAAGACGTTAAATCATTATTATTTACAGATGACATGATACTCTACATCAAGACCCCAAAACTCCACTGAAAGACTCTAGATGTAATAACCAATGCAGTAATGTAGCTAGATACAAAGTCAGCACTCAAAATTCAATAGCATTCCTGTATTCAAACAACAAATTCACTGAGAGAGAAATAGGGGAAACCACATCCTTCACAACAGCATGCAAAAAAAACTGAAATACTTAGGTATCAATCTAAAAAAGGAAGTAAAAGATCTATACATTGAAAATTACAGTATTCTAAAAAAGAAAATCAAAGAGAATTTCAGAAAATGGAAAGACATTTCTTACAGGAAGAACAAACATGAAAATGGCCATTCTCCCAAAATTATTATATAGACTTAATGAAATTCCAATCAAAATACTATTACCATTCCTCACAGATCTAGAGAAATTGTTCCTGAGATTCATCTGGAACCAGAAGAGACCAAGAATAGCAAAGACAATTCTGGGCAACAAAGGCAAAGCAGAAGGCATTACAATCACTGACTTGAAACTATACTACAAAGTTGCTGTGATAAAATCAGATAGTCCTGGAATAAAAACAGACCTGAAGATCAATGGAATAGATTAGAAGATACAACCACAACTACAAATACACTCAGCCACCTTTTCTTCAACAAAGGGGCCAAACACCTTCACTTGAAGAAAGATAGACTCTTTAGTAAGTGGTACTGAAAAACTGGCTTTCCATATGCCAAAAACTAAAACTAGACCCATGTCTATCACTATGCACTAAAGTCAAAATGGATGAAAGATGCAAGTATTAAAACAGAAACACTAAATCTGCTGGAAGACAAAGTAGGTAGAAATCTTGAAGACATGGGGTAGGCAGAGAGTTCAACATCTAGGATCTTGTCTTACTAAAAAGTTTTTGCATGTCAAAAGAAATTTCCAACAGAGTGAAAATAACACCCACAAATTGGAAAAATTTCTTAGCCAATCATCTCTCAAACAAAAGGCTTCTATCTAGAACATATAAAGAATTTTTAAAAATCAGGCCCCCAAAATTCAAAGACCCAATCCAAAAATGGGCATCTGAGATGAATACACAGTTCTCAGATGAAGAAATACAAATGGCAAATAAATACAAGAAAAATGTTCATCATCATTGGTCATTAGAGAAATACAAATTAAAACAACACTGAGATTCCATCTCACTCCAGTAAAGAAAGGCCAAGATCAAGAAATCAATCAACAACAATTATTGCAGGGGATGTGGGGGAGAAGGAACTCTTCTCCAATGTTGGTAGACTGGTACAACTACTGTGGAAATTGGTGTGGAGAGGTTCCATGTGACCCAGCTATCCTACTTTTGAGCACTTTCTCAGAAGAATTGAAAACATCATACCACAGTATATATGTGCACTCATGTTTACAGCAACACAGTTTGTAACAGCCAAATCCTGGAAACAACCCAAATGCCCATCAACTGAGGAACAGATAAAAAAAAAAAAAAAAAAAAAAGATGTGATATTTTTATACAATGGAGTACTACTCAGCTATAAACAAGGATCATATCGTTCACCTATAAAAGGTAAATGGATGCAACTTGAGACAACATTCTTAAGTGAAATAAATCAAACTCATGTGTAAATACTGTATTGTCTCCTTAGTGTAACAAACTGGGAAATCAAGTAAGATCCAAAATGTACAATAAATATTGTGTAAGGATAAGAAAGGGGAAAAGTAACTGGGATGGGGAGAGAAGAAAAGGAAGAAGGGGAAAAGGAAAAAATGAGTATCAATTTGTATATCTATATACATAAGATAGCCAAGATGAATATACTACTAATTCTATTAGTTCTTGAAAAAGAACAGTTACTACTCATGATTAGATCAATTTTGCATGTCTATTTCTGGTAATCTAAGCAACTCTTTTTGAAGATAACAATATGTAATATAACAACCAGTTACATTCCTATCATCTTGTTTTGAAAGCCTATATTGTTATTGTTTTGGGTTTATTGTTGTTCTTTGTCTCTTTTGCTTTCTGTTTTCTGCTTCAGTCTCCCAAGTTTGAGGCCTGCCTGGGCTACATAGAGAGTTCAAGGCCAGTCTGAGCTGCACAAGGAGACCCTGTTATCTTTCAAGGCATAAATTTATTCACTTGTATATGTATAATACATAAACACACATACACGTTGATGTTACTATGCTGATCAGTATTTTTATATTTTTAAAATCTTGTTTAAAAGAGAAAAAACACAGAAAAGAAAAACAGAAAGCAAAAGAGACAACACTCCTAAGTGAAATAAATCAAACTCATGTTTCTGAATCCTTTGTGGGTACAGCTGTGTGCCAAAAAACAATCCCTATGCGTGGAAGACTGGCTCCTCCTGAAGCAGACAGGGTCTGGAAGCAGGGTGACTTCGACATAGTACATGAGACCTGATCCCCAGTTCTACCCCTTGATGGTGGGGGAAGAGATGGTTTCATTTGTTCTGCCGACCTGATAGCACTGTCATCTGCAACAGTTGAGACATAAGAGTTGTGTGAAGCTCTCTGTGAACAGCTATTCTGCTGAAGGGACTTCAGAAACAGGATGCACCCCCAAGTCACTGGCACCTTTACCTGACAAGATGAGGCTTCACGAAGGCTTGCTCTGGCTGCTCCTGGCTCTCAACCTGCAGTGCATCCTCCAGCAGCTGGGCAATGACTTCCTGGGTAGGTCCCTGTTCTTCTGAGCACACTGGTGTCTTCATTTCTTGAAGCAATATCAGGTATTTGCTTTCTATCTGGCAGAGCTTGGCTTCCAAGCTGGAATACTACAGAGAAAGTGGGAGGTTACCACTATCTAGACAAGACTCAGGAAAAGCCTCCCTCAAATGGCTTAAGCAATTGATGAATGACAAGTCCAAGATTATCAGGAAGTGAGCCAGAGACAGACATTAAGAAAGACCAGGTTAATTCATGCCACAGGCCAATTGCTATGTTTAACATAGCTTTTTCCTTCAGCTCTGGCACAGAAGGGGCACTGATAATCAGATGCCTAGGTGCCAAAAATTTCCACAATCCTGGACAGGGCTGGAGTAAGCAGCAGACACCAGATGTCAACACTGAGGTCAAGCTGGTGCCACCTGGCACATGAGCCATAAGTAATCACCCCACACCATGCCACTATTCTTTTTTTTTTTTTTTGTCTTTTTCGTTTTTTATCAGTACCAGGGATCGAACTCGCGACTGCCTGCTTGCAAGGCAGGCGCTTATGCCGCTGAGCTAAATCCCCAGCCCCTCATGCCACTATTCTTAAGACACTGTGACCCAGGACTGGCTCCCACCTGCCAGCTGATCGGAAAAAGAGTAAAATGTGGAGAGATGCTTTAAGGTTTGCTCAAAAAATTACATGAGGTATATATAGCAGCCATGGGTGTTATCTGATTATAATTCAATTATGACTGGAATATTTGTTGACCCTTTATACTCTGCAAAGCCCTTTCCAGATGTAATCATGTCTGACTCTCAGGCCAACCCACTGGTTCAGAAAAGTGGCAGCATCCTCATCACTCATCTTATAGACATGAAATGTGACATAAATAAACCCCAAATAACTGTAATTTTGGGAATCTGTAGTTGTACATAACTTTTCTAAAAAAAATTCACTTAAATTGCATACGTATAATTGAAGCCACATCTACAGGCCTTTCTTTGCATCAAAGACAAAGTGCACAGCTCTACATATTATACGTATTTTTAAAATGTTTTGATACCAGTAATCATCTTTCTCCAAGCATGGCAGTGAAACTACTTTTAAAATACATCCCTTTAAAAAAATGTAGTTTTCTAACACTCCCTCTCACCAGATAATCATATCCCCATACAGACTCACCTTGGCCATCAGCTCTCTCTCCCTCCTTTCTGCATTTCTTCGTAGAGCTGAGAGTTCCAAAATTTCCTTATTTAGAAATTTATTTTGGGCCTTGTAACCTTGTAGATTATCCTGTGGGGGGAGGAAATCCCATCAATTTACACTGGCTAGATGTTGACTACGATTACCTTTGTGAGTAGGGTTTGTTGCCTCACCAATTTCTAAGTCAGGGTGAGTTCTAAGGACCTGGAGGTTAACAGAAATGTTTTGGTTAATCTTCCTGGCCACCTGTGGCAGCAGAAGGAAGGCAGCCACTGCTACTATAATGAAGGAGACAGAGGAAACAGTGACCTGATGGTGCTGATTTTTCTCAACTGACGACAAAAGAAATGAACAGCACTTATTTTCTAAATCTGTGCAACTGCTTTTACTCGTATTTGTTGAGGTGGTACAAAGAAAGTGATAGTGTACATTCTTTTTTTCAAATTAGAGAAACTGAACATATTCTCTCAAAATTCTCATTTTTACTTACGTACTTTGTATAAATAAAAAAAGGGCTACAAACATATACAAAAAGCCCTTGACTAAAAGCTTACACATAATAAATTCAACCTAAGAGAACGTGCTTCTCAACATTTCTACACTTAAAAAGTTCAAAATTCGGCTGAAGGCAAAGGTCTGGGGAGTAGCTCAGTGGTGAGCGCCTTTCCTGTACGTGAAAGACCTTGGTGGTACTGCAAAAAAAAGTGACCAATGTTTTGTTCCCACCTCAGAAAACTACAAAAGCAAGACATAACTATTAGCAGAGACAAAAGAGTAAAATCCAAAAGACCAGAAAATTTTACAAGCCATATCCACTGACAATAAATAAGAAAACTGGCCAGTAATGAAAATAATAAAGATAATCTAAAAATAGATTTAAAATATTTTAACATTTTGTTTACATAACAATATATATTTGTAAAGTATATACATGCTATTTTTCACCTAATCATTTTAGATGTGAGAAATCAGTACTCCCTCTTCAAATATGTAATCCAGCCCTGGAAAAGGAGGAAAAATTGTAAAGACATCCACTATCCATGTCTTCTCTCAAGCCTTTCAGCATGTGCTAGGTCCACAGGGTACAGGGACAGAAAACCCGAGTTCCTGATCAAGATAGGACTCACGCATTCCACCTGGAACCCACCTGGCAGCCACTGCCTCTTCAAAAGATCCACCCACTGAACCTTACAATTGTGGAATTTTGGAGCCAAAGTCTCTAAAATGGTTGAGAAATGTTCAAGAAAACTATTTTATTACCGACCCTAAACATCTGAGCTATTATGCCACAAAAAGAAAACGGAAAGAAGGGCCCACCCTAATTCCATTAGTGGTTTCCAAAAGAGATGTGCAGAGCCACAGCGATGGGGGGAGACCCTATGCCAGGCACTTGGCTCAGCTTCTGGGGCAATGTGACCCGCATCTCTCTCTTGCCAGGTATAGCCCATTGTGGCCTGGAAACCCTGGCTTTGACATAGTCTCCACCTGCTGTGAACACAGAAGTGTTTGCAACATGAACACTTTCAATGGGATATATGATGATGTTCAGAAATATTCAAGGTTGCATACATAAAGAAAATCAAGTTCTCCTGGCAGCACTAACAAAGATGTCTTTTATAGGAAAAGCTATTTTATAGTAAATATAAAGTTGGGATTTTGTAGTTGTTTTGGTTTTCTAGTTAACAAATCCTGTTCCTCTCAAAGGGTGCTGTCACTCAAAAGTAGCCACTACAGGGGATCATCTATACATTCTGACAGTGCTGCTATCTGTCACTCTGACATTTTTAGCTGTTTGGAATGAACTTGGACATGCCTAGCCTGCTCATCACTAACCTAATCTGCTGCAGTGCATGAAAGAAGGTGGGAGAGGTGAAGCACATGCTCATGACATGAGCTCGGCAGCTGTAATCCTTTGCCTTTCAAGGACAAACTCCAATAGGGGCAAACATGCCTGGAACCAACTTACTCACAAGAAGGAAGTGGCCAGGTGGGGAATACTTTGGGCTCAGTAGGGTTGGCAACTGTAATGTGTTGAGCTTCCTTGGCTCTGCCCAACATTTTGTGTTCTAAGAAACAACTGTCCATCTGAAACCTCTCCCAAAATTTCACAAGACTGTGGCACAGGACTTGACGACCCTCTCTATGGCTCAACAGCAGTCCAAGACCATTCAGCTCTATGCACTGGATGATGAAGCTTCTCTGTAGCCATGGGAATCCAATTGTCCCTGTCTCCTAGTGCTGGGTGGGCCAAGAGCATCTGGTGCAAGCATCCTAGGTCATACCCAGAAAAATCACAGCTTCTCACCCAGAAGTGCCCCAGAGAAGGATGCTGAGAGAGTTCTGTCTCCCTTTTTAGCATCAAAACCCTTCCACATGGTATACAGGGGTGCAGCTTCTGCCAGACCCACCTGAGCTGGGTCCACCCCTGGCTGGCTCTTTACCAGCTAAAGGAATGAGGCTCCTGATTCAGGCCTGTCAGGCTCCGCAGGAAGCTGTGCAAGTTAGTGTGCATTGTACATGCAGAAGGGCCAAGTGACCATTTCCACAAGGTCCATGGAATAACGAAGCCCTAGGGTGATCCAAACAGAAAGGGAATGGTCAGCTGCCTGAAAGCACAGGAAAAGAGATCTGAACCTGCTTCAAGCAGTGGCAACAGCATTCACATTTCCCAGGGGAACTACTGGGATAAGATCTGCTATACTTGTGAAACACAAAAACAAGAACAGGCACAGGCACAGTGCTCTTCTGTCTCACCAAATGAGCTCACAGACACCAGGACCTCTAGGGTGATCTGGATGGAGATACTATATGTGGGAGCCCCGTCCCCATGACCAGAGTCACTGTCCTGCTCTTACTTTTAGCCTGTCCACCTCCAGCTGGTCCCTGTTGGTTGGGGGAGCCAGGGGGGATCCCGGTGTTGAGGGGGAAGGCATGCTGCCCTCGCCCTCGCTGAGCTTGATGATAACCTCGTCCTTGGCCTGGATGGTCTCCATCAGCATTCCCAGCCGCTCATCAAGCTCGCCCACCGTGCTCTTCAGGGTCCTCACTTCTTGCTGCAGACTCTCCTTCTCCAAACTCAGCCGCTCCAGCTGACTGCTGAGGCCCAGAATCTGATCGTCCTTTTGGTGGAGCAGCTCCAGCGTGGCCCCAGGGACTCCTTCACAGAATCGGCCACTCGTGAAATATTTGTCATACTGGGAAGACCGTACTGTCTGCTGCAGCAGCCTGACCAGCTCCTGGGAGCCAAGAGGAGGACAAGGTGAGGAGGGGAGTATGAAACAAAAGGAAGAAATAATGACAGCACCACAAATAGCAACTGTTGAAGTCTGAGGAAACATTGAAACTTCACTAGAAATCCCTTGAAAGACATTAAAGCTAAAGAGGAAAAATATTTATTCCATGAAGACAGTCTGTACAGAACAATGATAGGAAAAGGAAACAATGGCCATGCGCACTGTCATTAGCCATGGTACTGGCAAGTATTAATCAGGATTAGAGAATCTGCCCTAAGATTCACTGAACCGCTAAGCCATTAGGTGCAATCAGGTCTGATTAGTTCAGAAAGGATGTTGCAAGTTTTAAACAACTATTATAGAGCTTTGGGCTAACGCCATGTATAAAGAGCACAGAACTCACAGTGGAGCCAGCCAGAGAACAGATAACACCACCCTGCAACCTTTTATAAGGAAGGGGTCATCCCTGCCCTGATAATCAAAACTTTCAGGACAAACCACTGGACAGAGCACCAGTGGCCATGGCAGCATGAAGCTACAGAGAAGGGAAAAAGAGAACGTGAATGGACTACACTCCTGAAGATGAGATTGCAAAAGTGGGTAAAGCAGGAGCCTGAAGATGGTTACCTTCTGGCTGGTAAGGTCTTTCTTCAAACGCTCCAGCTCCTCCTGCTGGCTTTGAACCTGCAGCTGCATCTCAGAGGCCAGCCTGACGTTGCCAGTGCCCGACATCCCACTCACACAGTCTCCACTGCTGTGCCGATTCTTGTATGATCCAATGATGTCTTTCAAAGGGTGCTTCCCTTTATAGGGGTTACGTCCAAAATCAATAGAGAATCCTGAGCCAGATATTCCTACACAAAAACAAAACCTGCTTTTCTAAGAGCTGGCCAAATCATCCTTCTAGACAGTACAATTAAAGAAAACTTCTTCATAAATCAATCCTAGGATGTGTACTTATCACCCACAAAACACAGGCAGGCTGAGATGGCCCTCTGCCCTCCCTGTTCCAGAGAAAAACCAACATGCCCAAAATCAGAGATGATGCCCCTGTGGGGTCCCTTCCTCGACACCCACCACGTAATCACCTTAAAAGAAAACTAAGGCCCAGTGATGTTTGGCTTCCTATTTTTCTAATTTGTAATAAAAACAAAGCAAAACCCATATGTCCATTTTAAATTGTGAACACCTATTTTAAAATGTAACTTTCCCCATTTTTTCTTTACAATAGTATTTTTAAAATATTGTCGGATTTGAATAAATTTTAATGCAGATGACTTCAAAAAATATATTCAAAACACAGACAAGCAACACTGACAAGCAAATGCTATACAAGTTCAATTTATACAAAGCCGGAAAGCAGGCAAACACCTATGCTGTCAAGGGCAGCACAGTTGTCCCTGGGATCAGGCAGAGGCAGGGCAGAAGCAGCCAGCACCTGAGTGAACACTAGAGTCATGTTGTGCTGGCTTTGTGACACTTCAAACAATATTCCCGAGGGGAGAGGAATACAAGGAAGGGCTGCCCACTTCCTGTGAAAAATGTGGACAAGTTGGCAAAATGTTTCTTGCAGCAGCTCCAGAAATGCCCACAACTCATGTAAGTGTCTTGTCAAGGGAAAGAGGTTGGGCAGAGGTGGACTCGGCTGTCAACAAGAGAGAAAAGACTCCTCAAGGGGTGCTGAGCGTTCTTCATCTTTCCTCAGGCACTGAGCCCCATAGTTCCACTTCTATTTCACTCAATTTCAACTAGAAGTCATATGCTCAGGAAACTCCTTATCCACATTCCTTCATTCCAGGAAGCTGCCCAGGTCACAGTGGCCCCACCCTGGGTGCTCCAGCTGGCTATGCCACACCATCAGGCAACCAGATAGACTCAACTGGGTTCGGCATACATTCGGACCTGGGGTCCACATCATGATCCCTGGAACACAGGAAAGCCCCTTCTCAAAGAAGTCACAGTAGTACTTGCACTCCCAATAAAGACTTCCCCAAATCCTGACTTCTGAAGGCCCATGCTAGAATCAAGCATAAGGCAGAATTTCAAAGTTATTTACTGAAATTTTATGTTTAAAACATTAACATTCTCTTAGCATCAGGCAAAAAGACTGATGGAAAATTTTGTGAATGGATCAAACCATAATCAACTGTAACAGTGAACACATGCTATGGCTTCAAATATGTACAACAGGAAGTTCACAGCACTCCAACCCCTACAGAAAATATATTCATACCAAAATTCAAAGTTAATCCTGAATCTGGCCAAGCTTCAGCTGCAACTGCAGTATGAAGGAAAGGCAAGGACAGAGAATTATGTTAAATGAGCTCCCCAACAAATACATTCAGTAAAACCAGAGGTGCGAAATTCCTTAGTATCACCATTGGGTTTCTGGGCACAAGTAACGGAGGGCGGGGGTGTTGTGACAAGACAGACCTAAGATGCCAGGTGTGGTGGCATACAACCGTAATCCAACTACCAGGGAGATTAGCAGAGGGGGGTCACAAGTTCAAGACCAGCTTTGACAACTTTGATAAATCTTGTCTTATGACAACTGTTAAGAGGCTGGAGTTGTACCTCAATAGTAAAGCACTTGCCTAGCATGAGTGAGACCCTAGGTTATCCCCAGCATCACAAATAAAACAAAACAAGGAACCTGCCATTAAATGCAATGTGGTGCTTTTGATCCTCATTTGAATAAACTATCAGGAGACATTTAAGGGAGGCAGAGGAAGGAACCCAAGTTGAAAGAATTAAGATGTGCTGTATACATTTACCAACCCCCCATGATGAAAGCAATCATTATGTACTACAAACACGTACCAATAAAAATTTTAAAATAATAATACATTGGGCCCTGGGATATAACAGCAGCACAGTATCTGCCTGGCAAGCACAAAGTCCTGAGTTTAATTTCTAGTACCCCGGGGGCTGGGGATTTAGCTCAGCGGCATAAGCACCTGCCTTGCAAGCAGGCAGTCGTGAGTTCGATCCCCGGTACCAATAAAAAGGAAAAAGACAAAAAAAAAAAAATTAAATTTCTAGTACCCCCTCAAAATAAATACATAAATAAAATAAATAAATACATTACAATTATTTAAAAAACATATTTAAGGAAGATTTTGGGAATCAAGTCATATTAAGATTTACCATAATTGCTTTTGGATATAGTAATGAAGTTGTATTTGTAATTCTTCTAAAGAATCACTGTATCTTAAAAACCACTATTAAAAGTCTGGTAGGGGGGTCACACATGTGCAGGTTTAATACTCTGGGAAGCTGAGGCAGAAGAATCACAAGTTTGAGCCCAGCCCACGCAAATTAACAAGACTCTATTTCAAAAAATAAAAAGGTCTGAAGCTGTAGTTCAGTGTAAAAGTCCTCACTGCCATCAAAAAAAAAAAAAATACAATTTTTAAAAAAAGATAGTTGCTAAAGTATTTCCAAATGCAATGAAGGGCTATCTAGAAGTTACTTTAAAATAACTGCTGTGAATAAGGATGAAAATGAATGACAGATATTTGAAAGCAGGAAGAAAATGTTCAAATGGGAAGGAGAACAAGGGAGGGGGAAAGAGGGAAAGGAAGGGAAAAGGAGAAATGGAAACAAAGCTTTTGTAAATAAGGAGGGAAAGAAAGATTAAAGAGAAGGGAGGAGTATGGGGAAAAAAAGAAGAATCAAGATATATTACGTACAGGTAGAAATTCCCTATAGCAAATGTGATCATTATGTACACCAAAAGAATGCCAATAAAATTAATTTTAAAAGTAATAATCCCATTCATGGTGAACGCAGGAAAGGAGAAGTGCTTAGAAGAGAAACAGACAAGAGTAAGAAGCCATAGTTCAAAGCTGCAGAAGCCAGGGTGCTGGATTCCCTGAAGCCCTGAGGCCCAGGTAGTAGGTCTAGTCCCCAGTGGCCTGCAGAGGGGTGAAAACTGGAAAGCAGGGGCCTCGCAGGCCTGGGCCTCCATCCTTCCTCTCTCTTGCTTCCAAGGCTGAGAGAGCGATGGCTTTGATCTGTACATGCTCCCACCAGGCTCCACTGCCCATTGGCCACGGGCTAAAACATCCAAACCCAAGAGCCAAAGTAAAACTTTCCCCTCTGTAAGCTGTTTTTCCTTGAGTATTTGTTACAGTACTAGAAAGCTGACTGACTAAATGTGTAACTAAAAATTAATGACACTATGTTATCTTTTGAGTATGTCTATAACTTCTGTAAACAGCTTTTAAACCAGTGTTTCTATGTAGAGGGACATGATTTCCAGATGTTCTACCTCCTTATAAAGTTCCACAACCACTAGGATGCACAGTCCTCTATTTCTTATTTTTCAAGCCTTTATGCTTTACATCCCATAGAGATGATGCTGCCAAACACGCCTGTCAGTAAAGAATCTCCAGGTCACTGGTGGTTAACAGAAGGACAAAGTGACAGCACAGAAACATGTCTGTACCTTTGCTACCCTCAGGGATCTGCTTCTTCTTTTCCTCCGGTACCACAGATTCCTCCAGGTCCTTCGGAGGTGGATCTACAAGTTCCCACTCTTCACTAGTATAAAACACAGTCCTCCGATTATCATTATGCCCTCTGCCAGGACGGAATGATGACATTGAATTCCTGTCAGGAAAGAAGAAAAGTGTTATTTAAAAATAAGGAAAAGTAAACCAGGTGTGGCAGCACGGTCCTATAATCTCACAGCACTCAGAAGGCTAATCGCAAGCTCAAGGCCAGCCTGGGCTACAAAGCAAGTTTAAGCCAGCATGGACTACACAGTGAGACTTTGCCTCAAAAAAAGGGGAAAAAGGAGCAAATAAATAAATAAACAAAAGTAAAATGAAACACAATTTCATGCGTGTAGGATTGGCAAAAACTAAAACATATAGTAATACCATATGTTAGTAAGGTATGAAAAAATGGTAACTCTTGTATATTGCTAGTGGGAGTGTAAACTGGTACTACTATGGTGAATAATTCCAGGAATACAGAGTGAAGTTGAAGAAGTTTCTATTCTAGGACCCCAGAATTTCCTAAAAAAACATCTTACGTATGTATACAGGGAGACACAAGCAAGAATATCGATTCAAGCATATAAGCACTGTTCATATTAGCAAAAAAACAAAATATGATTACCTTCACACTCATAAATAGATTAACTGTACTATATACGTGCAGTCAAATACTATACAGCCCTAAAATTTTTTTAAATGAGAAAAGAAACAAAAAATAGAAACAAAGCATTTGTAAGTAGGAAGGAGAAGAGGGTAAGGGAGAAATAAGTTATATCATGTGCAAGTATAAATTCTCTATGATGAATGTGATCATTATGTACATCTAAAATAAAATCTGATTGAAAAAAATACTATAGGGATTGGAGATTTAGCTTAGTGGCATAAGTACCTGCCTTGCAAGCAGGCAGTCATGAGTTCAATCTCCGGTACCAATAACAAGAAACAAAAAAAAAGAAAAAAATACTATAGGCCTGGAGATTCAGCTCAGTGGCATGAGGGCCTACCTGGCTAATGGGAGGTCGTGTGTTTGATTTCCAATACAAAAAGGGAAAAAAAAAATACTACATAGCCCTAATAATGAACTCATTCAACACATATTTAACAAGCACCTGTTCTATACCAGGTATCCTTCTGGAGTCATGGGACTCCCAGGGAACACAACACATCAAGCTTCTCATCCTTGGGGGATGCATACTGCAGCTAAAGCTGCATATAGAACAGGCACAGAGATTTTTTAAATGCTGATAAAAAAGGAAAGAAAACTTAGGAAGGAAAGGTAAAGAATGACACTGTTTTAAATGTACATGCTAATGTTTCTAATAGGTTACGTGTTTGCATATGTGTATGTGCATTTCTAAAACCCACACATTAACAATATTCATCAACTGTAGATTACTGGCTATCTATCTTTCTAAGATCAAGAAAGTGTGATCAAGAAGAGAGAATTTTAACTATGTTTTACTTTGGTTTTTAAATGCAGCAGAAATATGACAAAAGTCTAAAGATGGGCAGTGGCTACCCAAGCAATCAATATACTGTATACCAGCCTGTATGCCAAAATATTTAATTAGAGGTTTTTAAAACTGGGTTGGCATTCTGTTTCCAGTGAAAATAGAATAATAGGGACTAGATTTATTTACCCTCCTGAAAACTAAAAAAAGGGAACAAAATCTGGGAAACGATAGTTTTCAGACACTGGCTGTCATGCAACTCAGGACAGCAAACCCCGTGAGAGAGAAAACAAGGAGAGTGGGCCCCACCACTGCCTACAGGTAGTTTCCAGGCCAGGGGCAGGCAAAGGAGGCCCTAAAAAGTCCAGCAGCTCCCTGAATTGAAAAGAGTGAAGCCAGAGCTGGTACATACCTGTTATCTCAGCACTCTGGAAGGATGAAGCAGGAAGACTATAAATTGGAGCCCAGCTTGGGTAACTTAGCAACGTGGAAAGATCCTATCTCATAATATAAAATTTTAAAAGGACCAGGGGTGTAATTCAGTGTTAATGTCCTGGATTTGATCCTACTACCAAAAAAGGAAAAAGATTTAGAATAATGCAAAGAAATTTTACAACAGATCATCAGCCTGCCATAGCAATAAACAAAGGTACAGTCTTGTGCCAGGTGTGGTGGCACATACCTGTAATCCCAGCACTCAGGAGGCTAAGGCAGGAGGCTCACTGCAAGTTCAAGACCAGCCTGGACTATAAAGTAAGCTCAAAACCAGCCTACACTGCACAGCGAGACCGTCTCAAAAAAAAAAAAAAAAAAAAAAAAGCAAAAAAACACACTCTTCTGTTAAACTGCTTTAACAAGGAGAACCCCAGAACCCAGTGATTGCACCTGTGTAAGACCTGGCAGGTGTTTTCTTAATGTTACTGACTTAGGACCAAAATGGATCTGGCAAACAGATAATGCATGCAACCTACATATACCAGTCACTTCCTAAGCCCTTGTATTGCCTGGCACCAAGCTACACCTGCACAGAGAGACTCAGGTCAATTTCAATCCCCGGGGCTAAGGATTTAGCTCAGCGGCTTAAGTGCCTGCCTTGTAAGCAGGCGGTCATGAGTTCGATCCCTGGTACCGATAAAAAACAAAAAAATTAAAAATTAAAAAAAAAAATTAAATCCCCAAAAAGCCAGTCCTCAAGATACTGAATTCTGGCTTTACAAACGTCATAAACCTGTGGGGAAAACTATTTCAGAAGAGCTGCTCTAGAAGGAAAGGGAATGGTTCGCAAATGCTCTAACTACTTCTGTTCATTCTTAACCCAACTGATTTGTTGCCTTCGTGCGCACTGGTACCTCTGATCCTGCCATACCAGCTTCAGTGGCCCCACCTACAGTGAGGGTCTCACAGCAGAAAGCTTCCATGCAGTGACTGGTCATCTGCGTCCCTCTGAGAAACAAATTCTCCTTTCATTTGGGCTCCAAAGTGTGCCCCTGCTCTGGTTCTCAAAGAGTGAGTACAGGAAGGGAGAAATGAAAGTGGGGAAGATGCACACACAGCCTGAGCAGGAAGAAGGGCACCCACTTTCCCCACCAGGGTTCTGCAGTTTCAACTCTGTCACAAGCTGTTTGCACAAACCCATGCTCTCGCCCACAGCTGGTAGGAGGGGTGGCATGGGGTGCAGTATCACTGCCAAGCCCACACAATAGTGATCAGGCTCAAAGCAAAATCCCTGGGTGAGCTCAGATGTGGTGAAACCAGTTCTACATCACCATGGGTCTTGGCAAGACAGACTCTCAAGCACAAGCCTGCTACCTACACCACTAAGCAGGGTTCACCAGGGACCAAGGATCTGGTCTGTGCACCACACTGTGGAGACCAGGTTCAAAAATGCAGCAAGTGTAGATGGGAGCAAGGAATCGATGAAGCATTGCAGCAAGGAGTGGGAAGACCAGGATGGCTTCCTGTAGGGGCAGGGCAAGAAAGAGGAAGAAAGCAGAAGGCCCTCCCAGCACAGGGCCCTGGAGAGGGGACTGCACATTTGGAACAGAGACATACAGTGGACCTGTCACGAAGCAGGCTGAGGAGTAGGCCCAGGGTGGCAAAAAGGCCACATTCAGCAGTATGCTCAGCACCTTGGCTTGCAGCTGAAGGCCACAGTCTCTGAAAGGTGGAAGGAGTGGAGTAAAACGGCTCAGGCCACTGAGCATAGGGCCCGTGCAACCATCAAGCAGCATGGGCCCAAGACAGTAGTGCCTGCACACAGACCCACTCCCCAGCCCCCAACTGCAGACATGAGCCAAGCGAGCACTCCTTCATGAGATGAGGCACAGGATCTCTGAGCCTGGTTTCCCAGTCTTGGTCAGTGACTGCACATCCTAGCTTTGGTTAGAGTCTGCGTCCATGAACCAAAATCATCATCTTTTTGACAATCACAATGATTTCCATGCAACAGTGGCCCTGCAAATGAAAGGGCCTGGAAGGGCACGGACTGAATCAAGAGGTAGAGGGCTGCTGAACAACCAAACATAACAACATGTGCTCTGGGAGCCATCAGGGAGGATGGGGCTCCTGCAATTTCTTACAGGCACGGTGACTCCACAGGCCAGACCACATCCTTCCTTCACACGTCCCTCCCCAAGACCCAGCTCTGAACATGCCCGTGAGCAGCCTGACTACATTCCTTGTCCTTCTTGGCAAACACAGAGCTGTGTCTTGCAAGGAAAATACAAATAAACACAACGTCACAGTACCGGACACGAATGACTTCCCCAAATTCACCACACATCTGGTGCCTGCCTTGGACTGGCTTAGACCCTCTGCTGTGCCTCCTAAGACCAAAGAGCTAGATCACTAGCTATGTCCAGGACAGCACAGCCCTTGTTAGATTCCTGGGGACAACAGCCATGCACGCAAATCAATACTCCTACCAAGCTTGGGTGTCAGAAGAGAAACAGAAACAAAGTCAGAAAATGGCAGCATGAGCAGAGACCCAGGAGATGACAGTGAGGCAAGGGCTCAGGACACAGCATTGGGGCTTCACCCAGCAAAGCAGGCATCCCCTCCTCCCCACTCACCAGGTCAAAGAGTCAGGCTAACAACAAGCACTGGCACCTGCATACAGACACCACTCACCGGCACCAGCAGTGAGCTAGACACTGCAAGACATCATTACTCACATATGCCAGTTACAACGGAGGAAAGGAAGCCCAGAGAAGCCAAGGGACTGGCTCAGCAGCACAGAGCTACTAAGTGCAGTCCTGGGGCTCTGAAGCCCAGACTGATCACAAAAACCATGGACAGCCTTTCTGTGACCCCACTCAATGATGAGCATGACCCAGGAGCCCCCAGGCACACACCAGGCACAGCCCATGCCACACAGGCACTGTTACTGCTTCAGCCCTGTGGCAGCCAATGCAGACATACATCCCACACTGCATTCTCACTCTGCTTGCACTCTCAGATGCACATGGACCACCAGAGTTCACAAAAGGTTTAGTTTTCCTACCTGATATGTCTGGACATGTACTGGTTATATGAAGTCGTTAAAAAGGAAACAAGTGAAACAACTAAACTTAAAATTCACACACCTATAAAGGATATGTGAGTGTACTCTCACCTGCCAGGCTTCTGTGTGTGGGGTTACTGCCTGCCATTCATTACC